AACATCGACCAGACTACACAGCGCAACAACCCAGAAGACAGAAATCTTCATACTCATCGCCCTGATGACGAAGGCAGTATGACCTCTGAAACGTTGGTAAACATCTACCAGACTACACAGCGCAACAGCCCAGAAGACAGAAATCTTCAAATTCCTTCTCGAGAAACTGATAGTCAAGAAATCTCCCATTCTTAACTTATCTGAGGGCTCATTACCGTGATCACATGAAGTGGCGGAATTGGCCACATTCTGAACCATATCAATCCATTCTACGTCTTCCCACAATATTTAATATTACTTTTCATATAATTTACCTTCTATGTCTAGATCTTCCAAGTGGACACTTCCCTTAGGCTTTCGAATCACATTTCTCGAAGCATTTCTTACCTTCCACATCAAATTCTTCCTCAGATTATCATCCTAATATTGCTACGGTGATAATACGTCAACCTTTCTTGTGCTAAATGTCACGCAACATAACCTGTCTTTTCATCTGATGCCAATCATGTGCGTGGTTGCAAGTATTTTACGTAAGATCGCTTTGCTGAGACACCGAGTGATGATGTCAGTAGTTTCAGACAACGCCGTGTGACACTCTTTTGTTCTGTGTTCCAGGATGTGGCAAAATGTGGAACATAACAAACTATCTTGTTTTGAACATGTGCATTGCGCACATACCCTTAACTTTATTCAACAGCAGCTCCAGATTTTTGTATTTGTTTAACAGGTGAGTTGCTTGCTCCAGCACTGAATTCAGTTAAACTCCATAAAGTACAGGTTATTCATAATTCCCTGACACATTACAAAATATCGCTAGTCTTCAATGGTGCAATGGATGGTAATATAGGACATGCCGATAGAAAGAGAAACTCTACAAGTTTATTTTACATCCCTTATAAATGCTCAATAACCATGCACTGCTTCGTTGGCCACCCCGATCACCTGACTTCACGACATGAGATTTTTTTCTTATGGGGTACGTTAAGGACCAGGTCTTTCTACCGCCTCTGCCGCGGGATCTGCCTGAGCTGCCATCTCACAAATCGATCGTGACATGCTGCAGCGGGTATGGGCGGAAATGGATTATCGGCTTGACGTCTGCCACGTCACAAAGGGCGAACACATAGAACATTTGTGAGGTATGTAAAATAAACTTGGGGAGTTTCTCTTTCTATTGGCATGTCCTATGTTACCATCCATTGCACCATTGAAGACTAGCGATATTTTGTAATGTGTCAGGGAATTATGAATAACCCTGTATATTGTTCAATTCCAGCCAGCGACATCGGCTGTACGGTCTGAGACCTTTCGGGTTCCATAAAAAACTGAGCGACTATTAGCTTCTCGATGTTGATTCTGCTTTGTGGAGTTAAAGAGTGCCATGAATGGCCGAGGTCGTAATATTTTAAAAAGGCAGCGGCTTCATTCGAACGCGGTGGAAAGAAGACGGACCAGCAAGACATTGAATTATGAACATGCCAGCGCAAAATTAAAGGAACAAAGTTCAAAGGGCATTGCGCCAGGATTCGTGTTCCTAATTCAGAAGTCCGAAAGAAAACGTATTAAGTAAAATGTCACTCTTATGGACATTTCTGCAACTGTTAAAAACAAAAACGAATCTCTATGACTAACTGGAGTTTATGTCGTGTCCGAATCCCAGGTTTTATCGCTAGCTACGGAGTTATGTAACAAGCATGAAATATTGCATTGTGGGATTTAAGAAATGTTCTTATAGCTTAATGGATTACGAAAAATATGTATAATATTAAAAGTACGTCAATTTGCCTACAGCTAACGCTAAAGAAAGACTTTCTATGTTTAGGGGTAGCAAAGTGTTTTAGTTCTGAATGGCTGAACCCAGGTGAACAGTTTTGTCTCGTATTTAAGTGGACATTTATAACGACATATCGTTGCTCAGCCAACCAACTTCATACATCCTCGTATCCGTTGTAAATAATTTCGTGAAACCGCGAAATCTTGACTTGTGTCCAGAAAATAAACTAAGGAAATATGGACACGTCTTCCGCGTATTTAAACTGGTAAATACTTCTAAGTATTTTTATTAAATTTCGTATGTGAGATTAATAAAAGGGGTCAGAAGTGGCCGCGCGGTCTGAGGCGTGGGCCTTGTACCGCTTGGTCGCTGGGACCGTGGGTTCGAATCCCACTCAAGCCATGGATGTTTTTCTGTGTTGTGCTGTCCTGTGTACAGGTAGAGGCCTTGCGACGGGCCGATCCCTCGTCCTACCGAATGTCTATAGATCAAGCCAACGAAAAGTTGGGACCCGCAGTGCTCAGGCATTTGAAGAACGGGTCGTTCCCAGTATCCCCAGAGATTAATAAATGAACTAAGTTATGAGCACGTAATTCTGATTGAAGTGAATCAATTAAATATTTCTGTGCTTCGTAGCAAAACAGCGCAACTCAGTAAACCAGAGGAACAGTTTAATTGGGTAACAGCTCACAAGAAACTCATTCTCCTTACTGCGGTAATGTTAAATTTCTCTTTTCAACGTAAATTTCCCAACACGAACAAATATAATCTCCCGTTACGTTACGGGCACTTTAATATGAGACCGTGGTGTAGGCGATCGCTCGAAACGCCATGGAAACAAACGAGTAAAACAGCGCTTAAAATTTCCATTAAATATATTTTACAATTTCAAATAAATTAATAACGACACTTTTTAAATATATTAATTTATAGCGTCGGATTATCATTATTGATGAATTTATTTGGAAGGATGCATTTTTAGTTTAATTTCAATGTCATTTTCCACCAATTTAATTGTCTGAAAACATGATTTATTAGTACCCTTCAGTCTCCATCTTGGTCCACCTCTTCTTGAACCACAAATTCTATGCAACTTCTATTCCAGACATTTGTTACGACCACCTTTATACTCTGTTTCAGCGACTGGTACATCGGCAAATGGTATTGCCACTTCAACAACTTCCTAGCCAACATGTCGGTGGCAGTCACTGCCATGACAATCAGCGCCATTTCCGTAGAGCGGTGAGTAGCCTACATAAGACGCCTCACTGAACCTCCTTCTTTTAAGTAACGCAAAGTTAAACAGACGAAGTTTACCAGTTGCATTAATTCTCCTTTACACTTCGTTTCCAGATATCTTCATATACTCACCGCTGTGAAAACCTCAAATCATACATCTTTAGCCAAATGTCACTTGATATTAGTATGGAATTAGACATGAACTTGCATAGAAGTACTGCAAAAGTATTATCTTGTCTGTTGACAAGTACCAGGCTTAGAAATATATATTTATTTAGTAAGATTTAGAGATTAACAACTGAGCACTCGGAGTGCGCGTAACCATGGAAACGTGACCGCTGGCGAGACGTAAACACGAACAGCTGTTGCAAATTTTCAGACCAACTTTAAAAGAGAAGTGAGGTATTTCCGGATTAATATGGAGTGTATATAAAATACATATACACACATACATAAACAGTCGTTCTCACTTAAAACGCCACGAAAGAGACTTGATGTATTTTCTAGTGTCGTTCTAACCGATTGGGCTGATTCTATCGTAACAACGAATAAATATGATTTCAGGATTAACGTGTAATGTACTGTGTTGTGATATTTAATTTCAGATACAAGTAAAACAACATTTATAAAGGACGATTAAAAAATTACATACTCTACATCTTCTAATTTAAATATAAGACAATTGGTACATTTGGGTTGTCCTACACCAGACACAGCAAAATCCAATAGAGTATGTTGGGTACCTGTATCTGTTAATCAAAACAAACAAGACCCTGATTTGATTTTATCTTGAGCGGTGTCGTCCCGGATAATGATTTTCTAAATACAATTCGATGTACATAATGTGACATAACATTCAGCTGTTTTCTACTGTAGCTTCGTACAAGTGATTTACTCTCCTAATCGCTTCAAGATCCTCACTCAAAGCCGGAATTGATAACTTTTTCTTCTCTCTTCATATCCTTTATCCGGTCCTTTTCCTTTCTTTCTATTCTTGATTTTCATTTTTCTGAAAATACTACGTCTCCTTGTGTCTCTGCACACACAAAACATTTCTTTTGTTTATTTATTACTGATAGCGAAGTTTTCCGTCAATCCCAGGAAGTCTATTAAAAGGATCAGGTCAGGATATTGCACGACAAAGAGAAGATGCCTTTAAGATTGTCGTTGTCCTGCCTGGGAGGGGGGTTTCCCCCAGAGACTTTGTTTGCGACGTTATGTGGGCTGGTATTTCTAGTTGTACTGTCATAACGACACGTTACTTAGAAACCATAATTGGAACCGATGAGAAGCTATGTCTTTCATTATAGACGAGTGTTATAACGTTGCAGGTGAGACATTAAAATACGTATCTTACATTGGATTTAATTGGTTTATTAGTAATTGTGGCGCATCAGCTAAGATGTCGCAGTAACAATGTTAGACACGCACTTATACAGAATTCCCCATAAAAAGATGTATACATACAAACATTACACAAGTCTATTTGTGAGATGGCGTTCGGATTAAGTGAATTAATAATCTAAGTCTTGGTTAACTTTGGATTTCAGGGTTGAGATTAATGGGATATTAAAAATTACCCAACGTTTCGGAAAACACGTCTAGTGATGGGCGTTTATGGAAGGCCGTACCAAATGACCGAAGTGGGCGCAAGGGCAGAAATGGATTTCCAAATCCCTGTTAGCCCTAGTGGGCGGGGCACAGAATAGAAATCCCGGATGCCAGAGCTCTAGAAACAGGAAGTTCAGGGGTCCAGGCCTCAACGAAGGGAAAGGACCCAGAGGATAAATACAAACGACGGTTAAGGTTAGATGTGGGGAGAATTAGCTCTTAATAAATTCCTCCGCCCGATTCAGCGGAACCTCGAAACTTTGCCGAAAGAACACATAACTCGAGAAGCGATTAAATATTGATCCAACCGATCTGAAACAACAGGATGAATGATCTTCACAAATTAAACGCTAATCCGTAGTGAACGTTACGAATGTAAACGTATGATACCATTAATTGAATTCATTTTAATATTATCCCCCCGTCTATGCCTAAGACTTTCAAGTGGCCTGTCGCTGTATGCACTTCTAATCTCTCCCATCCGTGCTACATACGCCTCCAATCTTATACTGATATCTGGCGGAAAGTACAAATTACGACGCTCCTAACAGCGCAATTTTTTTCTAACGTCCTGTTAATTCCTCACTCATCCGTCAAAATTTCCTCATCAGGACGTGTTCTCAGACAATTTATTTATCTATAAACTGATACAGTATTATTTGTCTCGATCCCTCGTCTATTAACTTAAAATTTTTTTAGATACACACGACGTTTCGGAAGCTGGCTTTGCTTTCGCCATCAGGTTGGATCATAAGACATAACCAATTACGTACTTTAAAAGTAGTTGGTCTCAATCCCGAAACCTTTAGGCAAACATCAGTGTTTATTCTTCATTGAAGGTAATTCAACTACATTTCGTAATAACTTTGCAATAGTTCCCGACCCGAAGTTACGAAGGTAAGACTTCGACAAGATCTTCCGTAATCGATATATTTCAGTAAAACTTGGCCAACGGAAATCATGATAAGACAGAATCACAGTAACGCGAAGATAACGGATCAGAACGTTAATTCAAATATGATAACGTAAATTCAAGACAAAGCCTGTAATGGAATTTACATAACGCTACATCACAAAACACAACATTCGCTTGCAACACTACCACCCAAAACTCAGTCGCCATCTTTGGCTGTGTCAGTCTTCTTCCCCGTCCTCGCTTTCCTTCAACCTGGCCTTCGATGATGTCACTCAGTAACCCCTTCCTTCTCATAATATGTCCCAGCCAGTTGGCTTTCCTTCGTGTAATCTTTGCTCGTTGACTCTCCTCAATACTTCTTCGTTGGTCACTCGATCCGTCCACCTGATCTTCTCTATTCTTCTCCAACACCACATTTCAAAACTCTCCAGGTATTTCTGTTCCTTCTTCCTGAGTGTCCAAGTCTCTGCTCCATACGTAACACTTCACTAGTTTCTTCTTCATCTCCAAGCCCACCTTGCTAGTGAGAATTATCCTCTTCTTGACGAAAGCTGCCTTGGCCATGGCTATCCTTGCTTTTACCTCCTTGGTGCATAGGGCGTCCGTCGTGACTATGCTTCCCAAGTACTTCAAATGCTCCACATTCTCCATCTGTTGGTTTCCAATTACAACGTTCAATGGCTCTGCTCTCGGTGCTATCCTCATTATTCCGTTACCAGACAAGAACTGCCATAAATTTTGTGTACTCTTTTTAATTTCTCTTCAAATTCCTTTCATTTTAATCGACTTTAATCTTTTCAACAATTATTTATATTCGTTTCATCTGCTCCTTACAGGCCCATACATGAAACGTTTTAAAGTACGTGCGTGCACTTCCGTTGATATTTAAACTACATTTCTAGAAATAAATGCATGTATTACATGTGTAATCATTCGTTAAACAGAAACACACAAAATCATGCAGTATACAAAAATTGTACTCCCTGCACCACCAAATACTGCCACCTTCAGACACGCAACTATAAAAGAGGTGGAGGATTTGAGGTGTTCAGACCTCTCACTCTTTTATCTCTCCGTGTCTTTCTCTACCTCCCACGCAGAGACACGCCCCCCACGCTCCTATTGGTTCCTACGATCTGGACTGATTCTGACTCCAGTCCCCACTGGTTAGACTCAGTTTCCTGAAACTCGAACGTTTTCCTCTCGCAAGGTTTGTTTGGTTGGCACTACTTACTCTGTGACCGTTCCTTATTGCCAAGTGGGATCGGGTTCGATGAAGGGATTTATGAGACTCTTATGCTGGGTTCACGGGGTTTAATTTAAGATCGCCTCAACTGTGGCTTCAGGTATTTATTTTCAGTTGATTGCTGATTTAAATCTCCGCACGATATTGGTCAAAGTTAATGTAATACACTGCCACGTCCGTCAAACCTTTTCAACTTTCAACAACTGACGACTAATAACTTACAACTGGAACTCACGACTGTAGTAAAAGACGTTTCTCTCTCAAATATATTAATTTCACCCACTCATTCCGAAATCTAAAATTTAGTAACATCATTGGTTCGAGTTCCCGCTTTGTTTCGTGGTTGGTGGAATAATTTAAATTTAAGTCAGAATAACTTTTCTCTGATTGGTCGGTTCGATACCCGAGGCCAACTGTGACAGTTTACATCTCGTGGTGACGCTAGGTCACTTATGCTTAAACCCAATAATAGGGGTCCGACCTCCTAGGGGGTGAAATACTGCAACTGCCTGTCAAAGTATCCAGTTACAGGAGTTTTGAACTTCTTGAATGTGGATTTTTTCGAAAGGACAGCTGACAATGACAAATGTATGTCTATGTTCCGCTGAGCCTTCGTCACATGTCCGGGTGTGAATGTATTGAAAACGGAAACATTTCTTCATCCTTCATGGGTGGTCATAGTCCGAGCCCGAGCTCATGACTAGACGATTATAAATCATACTTTTAGAGCGACTGTAATGTATTTACCACGACGTGTGAAAATTTAATTTTGATATATAACATTTAACACACCATGAACACCTGATTTAACAGCTTAACCACATTCTTTAATGTTAAATAGCGATTACTTCCTTAAACAGCATCAACCAACTATTATTTACAATGGAGAGGTGATGTATTTTCTTTAAAACAACTGAATTTTAAATATATTTTCCCTAAGCTTCGAATGTTTAACCAAAAGCTGACCTATAAAACTAAACGGTAAACTATTTAACCGCACAAACTCGTGTTTAAAAAACAATTGTCCCGAATAAACCATTACTTGAAGTTTTCACGGCTACTAAACTCAATAAAATCCTCTCGAACAACAAATTCTTTTCCGTTCTGGAAAGAAGCCGAACGTTTCAGATGTACCTGATGATGGAGGCGGAGAAGGTATCCGAAACTTTGAGATCCTGTCCAGAACTATCACAGATTGTTGCCTGAGAGGGTTTTGTTGAATAGTTCTTTGTAAACCAATTAAGAAGATACGTACAAATCACTTTTTTTAAACTTTGCCGAAATTACAAAGCTACATTTTATTCGTCATATGCTTCAACTAATTAAGTAGCTGGCTTACCGAACCCGAAGGTTCATCACCGAATTAACCAAAGCCCTCCACCGGACCCTGTCCTGAGCCAACAAAATCCCATCTCCCATAGATCCCGCCTGAGATTATCCTCCCATCTACGTCTAGGTCTCCCCAGCAGTCTCTTCCCCTCAGGCTTCCCAACCAATATCGGGTGTACACCTCTTGTCCCATCCATGCGCGCTACATGCCCAGCCCATCTCATTCTCCTCGACTTAATCACCCTGACAATACTGGGGGAGGAGTACAGATTTTTAAGTTCGTCATTATGCAGTTTTCTCCACGCCCCATCGTCTTCTCTCCTAGGTCCAAATATCCTCCTCAACACCCGATTCTCAAACACCTGCAATCTGTGTTCCTCCCTCTGAGTGAGCGACCATGTTTCGCACCCATACAAAACAACAGGCAGAATTGTTGATGACATTGTATTACTGTACTCACCCTGTTGCAGGTACCTGGCGATTGTGTGGTCCTATACACCAAAGATGTCGATGAAAATCATTGTTATGATCATTCTCATCTGGGTCGCAGGCTTCGCCATAGGACTGCCCTCTGCAGACTACGATAATACCATCGCCCGCAGGTAGGCAACCCGGCCTGTAACCAAAGAACACGCGTTAGCGACATGTAAAGCGTGGAAGTTTTCAAAATGTCAGTCAGAACAAACCAGTGTATGCAATATTCTCGGCCTGCGGTGTGTCCTTATGTCAAACACACATGACGGCACACCACGAAATTTCGCATAATATCTACAAATCCGTTCCCTACAAAAACGCAGGCAAATAAAAATGAAACATAAAACATGTTTAATAAAACCACGACGTTTCGGAGATAGACTCCCATCGTCACAAACCTTCAGAATTGAACCAATATCTGTGTTGTGCATTAAAAGCTGTCCCACTATACACCATGTAGGCGCTTGTGGGGAGAGTTGTCAGCATCACGCTCCGGCCGCGCTTTGCCCCCGGGAAAGGACCCCGGTACCCACTGGACAGGAAGCTGGGTGGGCCCCAGAACCGGTCTGAACGCAGAGGCTAGAGATTCGAACCCCGGTCGTCCAGTCTGTAGCCAGTCACTATACAGACTGAGCTACGGCGGCTCATTGTGTGTTGTATATTAGTATAGGTAGGCCCCGATTTACGCCGGGGTTACGTCCCACCTCCTCAGGGTCGTTAGCTGAAGCGGCGTAAATCGAGAAAGAATTATAATGTATTTAAATGAGATAGGTTCCTTCACTATGAAAACTGAACCATAAGAGTTAATATAAGTGTTTTTGTATTAAATACTTGTGGTTATTTTATAATTATGAGATATAAATAATATTTACAGATAAAATATAAGTAATAAAATAAAAATTTAACTTAGTACTTCGTTCCTGTATAGCCATCTTTGGATGTAGTAACGCCACTGTCTGTCCCCTTATTGATGTTCTTTGACAGTGGCGTAATGGGATGGGCCTTCTAATTAGAGCGCCGGAGAACAGGAAGTCGAGTCTCCACAATGCCCCTCATAACACGTGGATTCTCTGAATGGTACACCAACATCGGCTTTAACTTCAAACTGCCTGATGCATTACCACCCAGAAGTAAATTAAGCCGATCTTTCGCAGCCTTAAGACCACGGACAGACCTCTCTTCACAGGCTACGAAAGACCTACAAGTGGTCTTCTTCCAATACATCCCCGTCTCATCAACATTAAAGACGAAGACTGGCGAACGAGGACACTATCGCCTCCTAGATACCCACTTCCTGTGTTGCGTTTCCATTTTTTTATTTTTCATTATTATTTTAAAAGGGCGTTAATGTGAAATGGCGTAAAATGAAGAGTCATAAAACGGGGCCTGTAATTGTAATATTGTCTTTTTCTGATTTTAACGCGTGAATATGGGATTTCTTAAAATAATTTTGCTGCACGTTGGTTGCGGAACACTGGAATAATCACACACGTCATTTAAATGGGTTTATTCAATTGAATGTTTGTAACTTAGAACGAGGGACGGCTCTTAACGTAAATATCAAAAAATCATATAATGCAGTATTTGTCTACACTAGATGAGTTGAGTAGATTCTATTCAGTATAATATAAAGTTGTCCAGCGCCGTAGCCGAGCGGTCTGAGGCATCATGCTTCGGACTGGCGATACGGAATGAGCGCTGGTTCGAGTCTCGGGGGAGAAGAAATTTTCTCATGAGCTTTCGACCAGTGTATGGGACCGGTGCCAACCCAGCATCGTGAGGAAATTGGGGAGCTACAATGAGTAGCGTAATCCGGTCATGAAAACTAGCAATGGCTGGGGGTTCGTCGTGCTGACCACATGTCGCCCTATATCTGGTTGGATGATCGTTCACCTCTGCTTAGGCATGTGAACGTGAGGCCAGCAGTCAAGCTAGTCGGCTTTGGCTCTCTGGAGCTGTTACGACACGGATTATTATTATATAGCAAAGTTTGATTTCCTCACTCAAACTGAGGGCTGTGGAGTCGGCACTAAAATTCCCGACTCCTTCATAAAAGCTCAATAAGTATTCATCATCATCAGGGATTAGGCACTAATGCCTGTTCCGACTTCAAATTCTTCTTCATGGCCGACCTCGATCTCTTTTCCCGATAGGTTTGCAGCTGAGCGCAGATATACGTTCTATTAATAATGGTAAACCTACTAAAATGGTAAATGGTACCTTAAGAGATTTCATCACCACCACGTGAATCATCAGGCTACTTTTTAGACTTATAACCTAAATTTAAATATACGTCTAATGGTTATTGCAGAAATCGGTTGATCTGCAGACAGTTTGAATTCTTAAAGTACCGGAGCCAAAGTTACAAAGCGTTATCCCCACACCAAGTGGCTCAACGCGTCGTTGAATCTCCCTAACCGTGAGGCCGCCGGTGGCTTACGCGGTATAGAAATTGTTCTTAAGATTTTATATCGGTACATTTTTACCGACTCCATCTAAAATTGCTTGGGACTCCGACTCCACATCCCTGAATGTAACAATAATCTCGGACCACTTTAGTGTAACAAAGACAGCGCTTTTCCAACTTTTCCTGGTATTAGACACTGACATTTACTCAGGAGAAGTCTTCTGTAATTAAGTAGTGCCATTTTATCCACGTAAAATGTAATGGTTACACAGTCATAAGTCACTCTTCTGTGACTAATAGTATTTCTACTATTGCAGATGAAAGATAAACGCGTCACCATTACAAAGATCAATTAGTTTAGTTTAGGCAAACGATGTTTAAGGACATAATAGCAGTTTGTCCTGAGAGTCGTTTAAAACCCATAAATACGCTATTTCAGCAAAACCGAGAGTCCCTGAATGTTAAATCAGGTGGTACACACACTTACCACTGTTCTTTGAAAGTTTAAAACAGAGGCTTCGACTAGGCATGCACTAACATCCGGAAATGACGAGCCATTCGTGATGGACTTTAACATTAAAGAATCATTTCACGGAGGCCAGTCATATAGAATGCCGCAGGAAGTTTTAATCACGGAAGTGGTTGGTGTTGATGCATGCTGCCAGCTGTAATCATGTAACGTGAGACAGTATCACAGCAAATGACAACTATAAAATAATAACTGTAGTGCTCAAGTTTATGCCAATATTAAACTTTTACGTCAAAAACAAGAAACATCGCTTAGAACTTTTCGCCGTGCAGATTTCTTGGTCCAACACTCCAATTTCGAACCAGCTTCGCAAACCGCCATGGATAATATATGAAAATTTCTGTTTTTAATTTTCAAAAAATATTCCTGAAACCTAGAGTTCTTTCTTAAGGTGTCGAGATATCCCTAAATTACCCTACGTCTAATTGCTATCGCAGAAATCGGTTGATCTGTAGACAGTTTGTATTCTTAAGGTACCGTAGCCAAAGTTACAAAGGATTATTCCCACACCACGTGGCTCAATGCGTCGTTGAATCTCCCTAAGCGTGAGGTGTTATTAAGATTTATATCGAGGTCGGAGTCGGTACATTTTTACCAACTCCGACTCCACAGCCCTGCTCAAACTTCTATAAATATTATTATTTCATGACCATACCATTCATTCTATTAATGGACAGTGTAATTGTTTTGTCACAAATCCATCTTCCTCCTTTCTTTTGTTTTTTGATGCTGTATTACCGACCGTTAGACGAATCAAAACAACTGAGCAGAGCAAAGTTTTATGCGTTCATCCATCACATCCATTACTTCAACACTGGACAAAAAAATACATTAACGAAAGACCTGCCTATATTTTAACTGATCCGTATTCTGTTAAATCAAAATATATTAAATAATTTTGGTGAGAGGGTTCGCAGTATCGGACACTTTGGGAAAATCTCGGGTTGTAGTCGATGTCTATTATTGCGATGAATCGAACGTTGTCACACACATTTAGAGGCTTGCTTTTTTTGGCCTCATTATACGAGGTGCGATCGGAAAGTTTCAAGACTGCGCGTATAAAAACCCGTACACTTATCTCAGGTATTAAATTCATCCATCACCCTCGAAGTAGTTCCCCTGGGAGTGAACACAACGAGCCCAGCGCCGCTGCCAAGCCTGGAAGCATCCCTGGAAATCTTTCTTTGTCAGCCTGTCAAGCACCATCTGCGATTCTGCCTGAATCTCTTCTATTGTCTCAAATCTCCTTCCCTTTAGCTGAATTTTCATCTTTGGGAAGAGGAAGAAGTCACACGGCGAATAAGGAGGGGGCGGGATGACGGCCATTGTGTTTGAGGCCAAAAACTGCCGAACTTTGAGGGCGGTGTGCGCTGGCGCGTTGTCTTGATGCGTCGCATGTGGAGTTCTTCCTTTAGAATCAGCTGACAGGTCCCAACAATGTCGCACAAGTCGTTGATGGTACGACGTCGATCTTCGTGAATGGCCTGCCGAATCTTGGTAACATTTTCGGGCGTTGTGCTCGAAGATGGTCGTCCAGAATGCTCGTCATCATCGACAGGGGTTCGGCCCTTTTTAAAACGTGAATGCCACACAAAAGTTTGTGCACGACCCATTGCGGACTCCCCAAATGCTTGCTTTAGCATTTCATAGGTTTCCGTAGCCGTTTTGGCGAGTCTTTGGCAAAATTTGATGCACACGCCATTCCGAAATCGCAGGAGGGTCGGTGTAATGCACTACCAAAACGCTCGTAACTAAGAAACAAATGCTAATTCGATGATGCCGGCTGGCACACTGATTCACTATGAATGTAGGCCGCACCCCCTAGCGGCAGGAGCTCGTACTACATCCGGTTCGCCCTCTATTGACACAGTCTTGAAACTTTCCGATCGCACCTCGTATAGGATACTGGCAACTCTTTCGAAACGTCGTCGATATTAAAATATCGGGAGTGAAGTTTGAAATAGCAAATCATGAGCGTTCTGTATGAAAACAAGTACATGATCTTCTGGGTATTCTCGGAAATAAACAGTTTACCTCAGGTTTGATTCACGTAATTCCCTAACACGAAATAATCAGTTAATACGTACGCTTATCTATGTAATAAGGATCGATCCCACTCAAATGCAACAGAGATAAGCGGACAATTAACAATTTGAATGAGTTTCCACATGAATTCAGTTTACATCATCCCACACAATGACTTTTATCCATTTTAATAGTATCCAACCAATTACAATTATATCGTTGGAACAATAAAGCAGAAATTACCGAAAACATCTTTGAATGCTGTCTCAACTTAATTCAAAATAGAATCAAAAGTTTTTATCTGTTATAAGTTTCCTTATTTGTTGATTTGCGGCTTTAGTAAACTTAGATGACAGTTTGCATATTACCAACGCATGAGCAAGTATTAGGGAAAATATCAAGACCTCAACCAAGGAAAATCTATGATATTACACACTAAAACATAACAAACCATGGTTTCATGATGGGTAGTCAAAATTAATAGACAAACAAAAGCAGGCTAAATTACAACGGTTGCAAACCCCGAGCCAAATCAACGGAGTTAATTTTCAAAATTTAAGACGTGAAACCAGTAGAACATTTAGGAAGAAGAAAAGAGAATACCTGAAAGATAAAATTAATGAACGTAAGACTAATTACAGAAACAAAAATATCAGAGATTTAATCTCCTTCCTTGACTCTACAATCCAGTTGTGGGTCTTCGCCACCCCTTTTCGGAGGTTTTTTAGTCCTTTTTAAGCGTGAATTTGTGAGTAGTGAGTGACCAACCCACTGACTGCACAATTTCTACTCAGTCCCGATTTGACTGCCAGAGCCATCTAGCAGTGAATCAGGAGAGACTTGGGTGAGAAATGACCGCTGAATTTGGTTACGAAACATCCTAATTAAAAATTTATAAAGAGCCATAAATTAATTTTAGAAAGATTACCAACCTAGAGTTAATATTATAAAATAATGAGAATGGTTATACGCTCGCACATACTCACAGGGGTTTGAATAGGTGGATAAATTTCTTTATCCAGGTGTTATATGTTCATTCTGTTCATGATATTACGTAGATAGACATACATACGTCTGAACCATTAGTACCAGAATCTAGCCTTATCGGGATGGATGAAATTATTCGGGATCATCAGTGTGGAATCTGTCTTAATAGATCTATAACTGATCACATTTTGTACTAGAGAAAACGTGGGACGGTCCATCAACTATTTACAGACTTCAAGGAAGCCTATGACCCAGTTAAAGGAGAAAATCCTTACAATATTTTGCTTGAATCTGGTAGCTAGTGAGACTAATTAAAACGTGTTTAAGTCAAAAACCTAGCAAAATTCGTATGGTAAAACATTTGTCCGATACATTTCCTATTCAGAATGGCCTGAAACGGGGAGATGCTTTGTCGCCGCTGCTTTTAAATTTTGACTTAGAATATGCAATCAGGAAGAACCCTAGAAAATCAGGGTGGTTTGCAATTGAATGTAACACATTAGCTGTTGGTATGCGCTGATGATATGAATTTCTTGAGCGAAATTATAAATACTGTAAAAGCTAAAACAGAAACACTCTTAAGGACTAGTCGGGATGTTGGTCTTGAAATAAATGCAGAAAATACGAAGTATATGATCACGTCTCGGCATCAGAATTCAGAATATAAGAATGAAAATGTGATAAAATTCAAGTATTTGGGGACGACACTAACAAGTCAGAATAACATTCATGAAGAAATCAAGAGCAGATTAAGTTCAGGGAATGGTTCCTGTCATTCAGTCCAAAATCTTTTGTCCTCCCCTCCCATATAAAAAACTAAACATTAAACACACAGAATTCTAATTTTGCCAGTTGTGCTGTATGGGTTAAAAACTTGGTCTCTCACCTTGACGGTGGAACATAAATTGAGAGTCTTTGAGAAGAGATTGTTAAAGATGATACTTGGATCTAAAAGAGATGGATCATTGAGAAATTTGCATAATGAGCTTCACGGCCTGTACTTATCGCCTGATAGAGGGATTAAATCGAGGAAGATGAGATGGGCGAGACATGTGGCACGCATGAGGGAGGGGAGGCCTGAAGGGAGGAGACCGCCGGAAAGACCTCGGCGTAGGTGGGAGGATAACATTAAGATGGACCTGAGGGAGACAGGAATCGATTGAGCGAACTGGGTGCAGCTAGCTAATGTTAGATTTCTGTGAACACAGTGACGGACCATCGGGTTCCATAAAGAAAATGGGCGATTCTTTGACAAACCGAGTACACAATCGATTTTTCACAGAATTCCCTGCACTATAGAGTGTGTGAGTGAACAAACAGCTTGGAAGTGGAAAATGAAAATTCTTACAAAAGTTTGGCGTGAAATATAACGAAGAGTGATGTCTTGGAAGACCACGACGAGATACAGTAATAAATAACTCATTATATATCAGGTTTGTGTATTGAAGACTTGATTAAGTTGATTCAGAATCATATTCAGTGATAACACCTTATATTTGCTGTGTAAATATTTTGCTTATGGCACTATAGCCTTTATACACCCGATTTAACAGGTGTCTTATCATAACAAGACATCTACCTGTCACTGAAATTACTGGTAGCTTTAGTCTGTATTCAATGCAATGTGTTATGAAACAGAAGCATTGTATTAAAGTGATTTATCTCCAATGCAAAATTAGCAAGATACAACAAAGAATGTTTTGGAACAACAAAGGTTGAGTTATCCCTGGTACTTATCTAAGCACCGCGCAATGCAGACTCAAGGGCAATCCCACATAATCGTAACATAAAACTTAAACCTGAGGAAACAATCCTGATAACACATAGCCGTTCTGGACGTTGTTGTTACGATAAAATCATCCTATACCAGGAATCAAACCCCGGTCATCCACCCCGTAACCTGAGATACCCCCAGCATCCTGGTTTGCAACACACTCGTACGCAAACTCGTTGAATTTAGAAAAAAAAATCAGAGTTGGGCGTTATAGGATCTGCGTAATTAGGACATTCCACGCACAAATTAAATCCAGCATCGATTTCAGGATGGGGACTGGTTAGCTTGTAACTCGAATCAGCTTCTCACGTGACAACCCCGGACAGGAAAAATAATCCTTCATAGAAATGAGTTCCCTCTGGCGATGGGTGACATTTTTAGTGTGAGCCAATGATAACACGCTGGTTGGACGGTCCTGTCACGCATCCCATGGGCTTTGACAGACGAATATTGAACAGCTTGTCTCAGTATCATTTTGTCCACCACAGATTTGTAATGGACTTCCCTGGCATTGAGCCTTGACTTGAACAAGTGGTAAGTGGAAAGCGAATACGACGCAATTTATACAGAATCGTCTGTCTGTTGCAGGGACACCGGGAACACACGCACGGTTTGCGTCCTTAAGTGGCCAAACGGAGATATTTTTAATTCCACGCTGGACCACGGGTAAGTGGGGAAAGTCACAGAGACTGATATATCGATACTTTGTCTCCTGTATATCGACATTCCTGTCTATGTCCTCGCCTGTATCGATACTAGAACACGAAAGCTGTTGGTATAATTGGTTATACTGAATGAATGAGCCAGATTCCTAATTACTAAGAAAAAAGTTACAGATCTAAATATTTTAGTGGTGCTTAAAATTTAAAGGTACTGAGTAAAATTTAATATTTTCTAATGTATAAGTGTAATAATAATATTTTTCGTCTTTCGTTAAAGAACACGTTTTCTTATGCGTTGATATCCTGGGTAAATAAATATCGATGTTTCGTCAAAGATACTTACGTGCACTGATATATCAACGATAGAAATTCTGTTCATCGCTAAATCCATATTTGCTTGAAAAGAGAATCATGGTCACACATGTGCAGAGAGCCACAGTAGATGGCTTTCAGATTACATCGGTTGATACGTGATCTCTTATTAATCTTATGAACCGACGGATTTCGAACTACAATGTGTTCACAAGCCTCTGTCGCTTTTGATTTCCAAGAATTTCCTTTACCAAAAGAAAATTGTTACCATACAACTCAGTCGGCTCCACTACCTATCAAAAATGCTGAGGAGAGTGGTGTGGAATGCTAAAACACTGAACGAAAAATGTTCTCATAACCCCAATGTCCCCTGCCTTACACTCCGGGGTTTTTTTAGTGTTCTGTCCGACGACAGGTCCATATGAACAGGATCCTTCCATCCTTTTCTCGGATTGGGACCTGTTCATATGTTTTTTAGGCAGATGATCCAGAAGTGGTTTGCCATTGCCTTCTTCTGTGAATGGAGTAATTGTTGGGATGCCACGGAGAAACCCCCGGAGGAAAACTCCGTGATGCCTAGACCACGGCCTTGCCCAACACAAGTTATAAATCTGAGCACAACCGGGAATTGAACCCGGGACCCCAGGATTACAAGGCTAGCGTTCTGACCGCTAGACCACCGTGGCGGCTTCCCGGGGTACAGCACAATAATTTCAGAACCCCCAAAAGCACACCGAGTTTACAGCCGAAAAAATTAATCTCACCCCCGAGGGGATCAGGAAGTCAAATTCCTGGAGGAACGTAAGACACAACAGGAGGAAGAGGGGAAGATGGAAGGGGAAATTCCCAAAGATGACGTTACACTGGTCAGTAGGTATAAAAACCAAACTGGTATTTGTATTTGCAGGTACGATAAATTCCTGCTACAGGTGACGTACATATGGCCGATGTTTATCATGGGGATGTGCTACAGCACTACGGCGATGGAACTTTGGTGCTGCAGCTCGAATCCCGAGCGGGCCCCGCAAGAAATTCACACCAGGCATACCAAGAAGGTGAGATGTCTCCAAATCCAGTCCCTTTACACCTTATGTTCAGTCTGCCATTTTCCCAAGCCTTTTTTCAGGATCAGGCCAATTTCGGGTCAGTCACCGCAGTCATTGGGCATCCTGTCTGATGAGATGACTCGTCTGTTCGTGTCACACGCATTTACGTATTCTACACTTTCCCTCAGTATACAGAGTGATTCAAAAGGTTAGAACCAAACTGAAGGAGCGTGTAGAGGGACTCAGAGAGAACAACTTTCGAATAGGAATCCATGTCCTCCGAAGTTATCCTGAGTCAGTCGAGGCCATTGAAGGCAGGGAAGTCTGATAACATACCGCTGAAATACTTTGCTATTCTTCTATTAGCTTAATTTTTGTTTTTTATTAATGTACAAGGATACATTAGCAATCTTACAAACCAAATTATTTCAGCGGTATGTTATCAGACTTCCCTGCCTTCAATGGCCTCGACTGACTCAGGATAACTTCGGAGGACATGGATTCCTATTCGAAAGTTCTCTCAGAGTCCCTCTATACACTCCTTCAGTTTGGCTCTAACTTTTTGAATCACCCTGTATAAACCTACATTATAAACATGGTCTCTGCCAGATTACGCCTTATCTGAGTTACAAAAGCAACTTACTTATCGTAAGCTAAATTTCGAGAAATAGCTCCTGCATACGTGCGGGATGTCGAAAGCCACATGAAAATCACTAACCGGCGTGCGTCTTTGTGTGTGTTACAGGAAGCTACCATGTTCATCAGTATGATGGTCGTGTTTGCAGTATGCACACTCCCATTTCACGTACACAACATTTATGCGGAATACGATCTAGCTAATCAATACGGTGGACTTTCCAAGCACCTAGACCTAGCGGCAAATTGGTTGGCCGGGGCCAATGCCATGATTAACCCGTTGTTATTCATATTGATGAATTCCAGGTACTCCAGTTTACCTAAGTTTGAGTTGACTACAATTATTAGAGCTCTAGTGACTATAACGTGAACAATGACATTGTTCCATCAGTAGAATCGCACACTATCAATTTAAGAGTCTATTATAACGCTCACTATTAATTCAGGGATGAGTTACTGAGGTTAACGAAGATAGGCCCGGGGTGAGATTACGGCTTCAAATACGACTATTGTACCAAAAGTCTCGGAATAGGACGGATCGTATGGATTTACGACTCTGACAGTGTTTGAAGGACCTGAGAATTGGAACGTGGAACGTGAGGAGCCTATTTAAAACAGGGGCGTGGGATATATCAGCTATGGAAGTAGGGAAATATAGTTTGGATGCTGCAGGGGGCAGAGGATTTTTCCTCTAGCCTCTGCTTCCAGACCGGCTCTGGGGCCCACCCAGCCTCCTCTACAATGGGTACCGGGGTCCTTGCCCGGGGGTAAAGCCGGCCGGGGCGTGACGCTGACCACTCACCCCCATCTAGTGCCGAGGTCAAGGAAGAGAGGAGCTATACCTCCACTCCCCCCAAGCGCCTACATGGCGTATAGTGGGACAAACTTTACTTTACTTTTACCCTCCTGTCGGATCCCTTCCCAGTGCGCAATGGCCTAAAACAGGGGGATGCTTTATCTCAAATGATTTTTAATTTTGCTCTAGAACATGCCATCTGGAAGGGCTCAAATTGAATGGTCTGCACCAAGTACTTGCCTATTCTGATGACGTCAATTTGCTGGGGGATGGTGTGGGTTCCATAACCTAGAATGCAGAAACTCTCCTACAAGCTAACAAGGAAATGTGCCTAGAAGTAAATGTAGGCAAAACTAAATTCTTAGGCGTAATACGGGACCATCATCAGCAAAGACGGCGGAACATAATTATAAGTAACACATATTTTGAAAATGTATAAAAAAATTAATTTATCTGGGAACAACAATAACAAATATAAATGAGGTCCACGATGAAATTTGGAGTAGAATACATTCGAGGAAAGCTTGTTTTTATCCAATTCAAAAACTATTACCATCTCCTTTACTATCCAAAAACAATGAATATCAGGATATATAAAACAATAATTTTGCCTCTTGTCTTGTATGGTTGCGAAACATGGTCTTCTAGAGACCAAAATTCACCCATAGCAATAACAGCTTCTAACTCGAAAGTGTAAATCCGCGCAGTTAACTGACCATCCTCGACTATTTGTGCTTCTTAGGTTCCGTCAGTGCTTGATAGACGCCTGGAGACAGTGTCATTGTCCCTTCTGGAAGAGGTCCGTGCACCTGGAAGACACCGAGTTGACCATGTTTCATATGTGCATCTTTCGCCCTGAATCCACTTCAGGTGAGTTTTCACGCTGCATCTTTCAGGTTTACTTCCAAACAACTACAATACAGCACAAGTTTTCTTATTCCTTGTTAACTGATCATACGTGGAAGGTATAGAAGTAGAGTTACCATATTTCCGGTGGTACAGACCAGGACGCCCCCTTTTTAATACGAAAAGGAAGATGGGGCACAGTGTAGTTCACGTCTGAGTTTCATGTCAAGTCAAACTCTTTCTTTACGTACATATCACTGTCACTCTCCGTGTAATTAATACAAATTGATAATTACTGCCCTCGTACGTGTTAATCGTTTGCATTTGTCAACTAAGAAACAGGGTTCGTTACTGTCACAGAACGAGCACAGATATGTGTCCATTTCGTTTCACAAGAAACGGATTCCCTCCGAAATATTTCGTGAGTCTCCAAACGCATATCGGAATTTCTGAAACTACGAACAACTCTGATTCCTGATAATCTAGCTCGTGTTTCGGAGGGGTCCATCTCACACGATCAAAATCAGTCCTTTGTGCTCTGCCCCTAGCATGACCGCTGATTCAAAATACCCCTGCGTGCATGGAATCATTCTACTGAAACAGAATAAATCTGGGGAAATCGGAACAAAACTACGAAATAGCTTGGATAAACCAAAACAAGGACATTCGGTAATCCTAAATAGAAAGGTACATCAGAATTAGAATATAAATAAAAAAACTATTAATGTGATTTAAACATTTGCTTCTCCTCTAGCAATGCAAGTCGCAGTTGCGAGACCCACAACTCAGTCACTGAACGCACAGATCCAATATTGAAGTGTCAACATTCCTGCCACTGTCTTCCTCAGGGTATCCAATGTGTTCTCTTTAAAGTTTTCTAAACTGTGCATACGAGATGCGTTCTTGCATTCGGAGTGCACGTGTACGTCAAGAGCATTATATATTTTTTTTTATTTTGTGTTAAGTTACCACGTTGGCCTTCGCGATAACTTGTCGTACATCCAAAACTATTGTTCCAAAAACCGAATCACATTACATGTTTTAACACTGCAGCCATAAATGGCCTTCGTATTTCTCACGGACGAGTAGATACACATCATGCGTTCGTTTGAAGCGTTTAATGAATGCAAGTAAGGCAAAAAACGATGAACACAAAACTTCTCTGAGTCTTCGTGTTATCTAATATAAAATGTCCTCGATCTACCTACCACAGTTATCAACAGTACGGTTTGTTTAGTCGATTTTTTGTTTTCTATCCAATAGCGATCCTGACGCAAACATCGAGCGGAGAATTCGTCTCTAGCGACACCAGGTCATTGGTAGAGAGGAACTTGGACGTTCCTAACGTTTAAAAGGACAGTGTCTGTTTGTATCCTCGTCAACTGACGTTTATTTGTTAAATTAGTTAATGGGAGGCATTAATACGTTTATAAAAAGTATAGAAAATGTAATACAGGCAACTCTCGGTTTACGAACATCGCTATAACGAACGTCACAATTCATTCAAAATTTAATAAAATCGCCAATAGACAGAGTTCATTATAAAACGAAATGCCAAGCGTTTAGTGAACATAATTGTAAGATTTAAATAAAAAAATTTAAAAAATGTATTTATTGCAATAATTATCAGAAAAGTGTTATATGATAATTTTACTGAACTGTTCTTGGTTAATAAAACTAATCTATCCAGTACAAAAACGTTGGTTTACATTCAACGCCGCGTAGAATGTTTTCTCACATAACGCATAAATACATTATAATAAAACGTATTGTGGTATTCAACCTTTTTTGTTCGCGTACCCCCAGATATAATTTCTCTTCAACTTTGTACCCCAAAAGTTGTTGGTGTTTAATTCAAGTTATACATAGTATATAATCTACATCCAAAATAAATTAAATAAATTACATTACTGATTATTCAGTGTTTATCATAAAATAATATTTTTTTTAAATTTCACGTACTCCCTAAGATGTCTTCGCGTACCCAAGGTTGAATACCACTGATATAGACCATTCGATGTTTAGTACATGGTTTTAATGCTTTAAAATGGCTGTTAACGTATACGATTCGTATCGTAAGAACTCAGGAATGCAAGATACTCATAACGAACAACGTCTTGGAACGGACATCGTTCGTAAACAGAGAGTTGCCTGATTTTAACGTGTAACAAGATTTAATTTGAGTTTGAGCGGAACATCGAACCCCATGAGGCCGAAATGCGCCTGGTAAAATAAATTACAGTTAGTTGCACGGGCTGAAAATTCCCTGCCCAACATGCGACACAGAAGAAAAATAAATGATGGCACTATTTCTTGTGAATGCGCACCGAGTTGACATGTCAACCTTGACGACAGCCAACTTCGCCTAGTGGAAAAACCGACAATGATGCTGGTAATAAAATGTCTTTGCAGGACCAACTGATAACAGAAACAGGCCTCTCACGCGCAACCACCAGCCGAAAAACAGGGTCTTCATCGTTAGATTTTACAGAGAAACCTAAGTAAATCTGACCCTTGCATTGCAAGAGACGAGGAAGTATATAACTTTAAACACTCTCAGTTTCAGCACTAAATGGTAGTGAGTGATTCCATTCCTGTTAAAAGTATTTTACTGTATGCTTAAATTACAGAAAGACAATTTTCTAGGGAATATGAAAACAGTAACACCGTTACATTTCATGTGAATTTGGGTCATGGGTCCATCATCTAAAAACTTGTCTTTGTTGTGATAAACGAGGTTTGTTAAACAGTAATGTATAAATACTCTGTACACAAAATTATAAAAGTACGAACATCGGGATTAGAGAACAACTTTGTATGTTGTAATTTAATTTAAGAAATAAAACATTTCACTAACTGGCCCCTATCAGCGTCCTGGCCCCGTCGCCGACATCGGAGTTGCATGACTCCCTGCGCGAGCTCCACGTGGATCTCCACATCAGGCATGCGCGCGTCCTAATAAGAAGGCGCACGCATCGATGCTCGGGGAGGGAGACGTTGTGGAAGCTCACACCCTCGCCCTCATCGAGGGATCGCAGCCACCAGACAGTGGCCCGGAAGCCGTTCGGAGTCTCAGGCGTCAGTGTCAGGATTTCTCCCTTCATGTGTGCCGCCGTGCTCGCGTTTCTCACCCCTTAGTCGAGGAAGCGGGTCCGGGTCCCTTGACCGTGGGCTTGATCGTCCCACTTGGCGGGGTGAGAGCCCAAGCGTTCCCCTCTGGGGGACTTGGGTGGCCATACACGCTACGACTCGCCGGAAGGCCTGCATGTAAAACGTGTTACATGCATTAAACAGATTTCGGGTGAGGTATTATATATTTTACATGAGCGTCTTTCGAACGATGTATGATAATCCTAGAATGGCTGTTTTCTGAAGTTCCCTGATGTTGTGTTCGTCCGGGATGTTGGTCAAATATGTTTTGATTGACTTGGAGACAGTTCCAGTTGCTCCTATAATTATTGAAATTATTATTATTATTATTATTATTATTATTATTATTATTATTATTATTATTATTATTATTATTATTATTATTATTCCATCTATTCACCACTTAATGGGGTATGTACTTTCATGTACCCGAGACAGACCTTGTCCCTAAGGTACATAGGGCAGCAGCTATTTCCGGGATCCATATTGTTTTTAGCAAGTGCCACATGTATTATAAAATGTTTTACAATACATGCGACACCAAACTACTTCCTTCATTTGTTCTCTTGTCCAAGCCACTCTTGTTTTTCTTGATTGATTTTCTTGTGAGTCTTGGGCTTGTTGGCTGTGCGTGTCCATGGTTGGCCTGCGTTGAGTTGCTTCGTTGCCGTAACCAACCTCAGCCCTTGGAGTACCTAGGCGACCTGTACTCCAGATCTTTGTCTTTCCATTCTTCGGTAGTAGCTGCACGGGATTATTTATCGAGGTTTACTCCTCTAGATCCGCCGTGTTCTGTTATATAACAGGGTCACCTCTAGTCGGATGTGGGTCTGGAACCACGAGATAGGCGGCTACAGTGAGTTGGGGTCGTGCGCACGCAGTAGTCGGAGCGACCCAAGAAGCACGGCCTTTTGCATTATTATTATTATTATTATTCCATCTATTCACCACTTTACAGGGTATTTACTTCTATGTACTCGAGACAAACCTTGCCCCTGAGGTACATAGTGCAGCAGCTATTTCCGAAATACATTTTGTTTTTAATACGTGTTACATTTATTATATAGTTTTATTTTACGACAGCGTCTTTCGAATGATGTATGAAGATCCTAAAAAGGCAGTTTTCTGCAGTTCCTTAATGTCGTATTCGCCCGGAATGTTGGCCAAATATTTTTTTTAGTGACTTGGAGACAGTTCCAGTTGCTCCTATAATTATTGGAATTATTTTTGCTTTCACTTTCTACATTCGCTGTATTTCATTGAGAAGGTCCTTGTAATTCAAGATCTTCTCCGCTTCCTTTTTAATCACATTCCTTCTTCTTCTTTTTCCGGTTTAACAATGTTTGTACATTTTCCGGTACCCTTTACGGGTCCCCAACTTTTCGTTGGCTTCATCTATAGACATTCGGTAGGACTCCTTGGACGAGGGATAGGCCCGTCGCAAGGCCTCTACCTCAACACACGACAGCACAACACAGAAAAACATCCATGGCTTAAGTGGGATTCGAACCCACGGTCCCTGCGACCAAGCGGCACAACGCCCACACCTCAGACCGGGCGGACCCCTACAAATCACATTCCTGTCCGTCGGTATTGCTATATCAATGAAGAGACAAGTTCCATTTTTGTTTCGGATTATAATACCTGGTTTATTATTTATTATTATTATTGTCACCATCCTTTAACTGAACACCTCCACCGAGACTCGAACCCAAGACAGTTTTCTCGGGCCGTTTCTTCCGTAATCTCCTCATTAAACAAACAACTTTGGATGTGACCCCTTTCTTCTATATCTCTCGCTTAATTACCAAAGCTGCAAAGCGTAATCAAGACCTAAACATGTGCAGGCCATGGATAAGTGAACAGTCTTTCGTTTCAGTGCATTGTTTCCACAGAGCAGCATTTAAGAATTTAAATGAACTGATTCATGTGAAGCGTTTGCTGACATGCTTGAAATACAGCAATTATCACAGAAACATACATCGGTATAATCCAAAGCTCCGAAAATTCTGACCGGCCGTGATATTTAGACCTACAGTAATCTCTTCTCAGGTCCCTTATTTATAAAACGATTTTCAGTGATAACAGAAATGTGATAACTAGGCAAGACGTAAGCTTTGTCCGCAGTTAATGAAGCTGGAATCACGTGGGCCACTCTTCAAGATGTAGTATCGAGACCTTGGTCTTGAAGAAAATATCCGGGTTCAGGGCAGTAAATTCCCCTGGCAAGGTAAGCAGCCGGCCACACCCCGTTTGTAAAAATAAGACCATTCGGTTGTAATACATACGTACTGAGCTTAACGACTGCTCTGGCCTTCGGAAACGTCACGATGCTCAGTCGCCAGGAAGAAATATGATTACACTGGGTGTGGTCAGCAATAATTCGGCTTCAAGAAACTAAACAACAGGTGGGACACATTCAGAACTGATGCCAAGAAATAAAAGTTTCATAACACAGGGAAGAAAAATTAACGAATAGTGGCGTAATGTACATCTAAAGCATTGAATCCAAGAATGTGTCGGAAACTCCATGCGTCTTGAAGCCTCTATCAGACTGAGTTAATTCAATCAACTTCGTTCCCTGGTGTAAAAATCCTCAGTGTCTGTACACGGAAGGAGTACAATTCTGCTGTCCACAGTGACGTCATTACATAAGCACGTTTATGACAGAGAAAACTACCTTTCTATGCTACTGTTTTACGCCCGGCAGAAGACGAGCCTTGTTCGGTGTTACAGAACAAAATAAAACCGATCCGATAAAAGGCATTCTTAGCCAGCTGGCTGAGGCTTATGGTCGCTGTTTGCGCAAGCGCAGTATGAAGAGACACGATATGTAAGCCACAGGCTTGCGGGGAGGACAATATTCCAAGCTCTTTGAGATGTTAACAGCGACTTGCATGCTGGCGATTGCATTATATTTTTCGTGATTTTAATTGCAAAACATTTGTTGTATGCCTGTACCATGTTGTGAATTATGCATCATGGAAGATGATGTTCATTTGCCAGTTTTCTTTACCACCTCCCACCCCCCCTAACACTTGAAAAATTCACGCTCCGTCAGTGTTGTGGCCTTGAAATTTTTACTGAAATCTTCGAATGAAAATCTATTCCGAACGTGGTTACGTAATCCAAGAGACGGACTCAAATGATGTTAAGACTGTAAAGACTGGAGCTAGATGAAAAAGTCTTATAATCGTGTCACATTGAATGGATTCCTATTACTGGGATCTATAACCAACAAGTTAGTGTTGCCAGGCCCAAACATCTAGTTCCTCACTTCAGTGATTTGTTCCGATGTTGCTAGAAAATACGCCCGAAGGCATTCATAATTGCCCTGTGCTCGAATGACCATGTCGTATGGGGAATACCACACAGGCCTTGACCCAACATTTCGAGAAGATAAAAAAACTGAAGTCTCATAATTCTGAACTACGAACGTTGAGGGAAGAAATTGTACGTTGCATATTTAATATTTTTTACGGTATTTCCTTATACCCCCCACCATCCAGCCTCAAAATAATGTAGCTAACACTGTACATTGCGATTTCAAATGAAACCAGTTAACTATAAATGTCGTAAAATTTTAGTCAGTAAATGAAAAATATTTTATAGATAAGACGTGCAGAGGCAAAGCTGGGCCCATGGCCTTCAAACAGTTTAAGACGGTCGGGTACACTGACACTTTTATTTAAGGCACCTAAATTAGACAATAAGGCATGTAACAATTAGTAGTAACATTCTAAGCTTAATATTCGGAGTATATAGAGTTAGAGTACGAGGTGCGATCGGAAAGTTTCAAGACTGTGTCAATAGAGGGCGAACCGGACGTAGTACGAGCTTCTGCCTTTAGGGGGTGCGGCCTACATTCATAGTGAATCAGTGTGCCAGCCGGCATCATCGAATTAGCATTTGTTTCTTAGTTACGGGCGTTTTGGTAGTGCATTACACCGACCCTCCTGCGATTTCGGAATGGCGTGTGCATCAAATTTGGCCAAAGACTCGCCAAAACGGCTACGGAAACCTATGAAATGCTCAAGCAAGCATTTGGGGAGTCCGCAAACTTTTGTGTGGCATTCACGTTTTAAAAATGGCCGAACCTCTGTCGATGATGACGAGCGTTCTGGCCGACCATCTTCGAGCACAACGCCCGAAACTGTTACGAAGATCGACGTCGTACCATCAACGATTTGTGCGACATTGTTGGGATAGGCTATGGGACCTGTTAGCTGATTCTAAAGGAAGAACTCCACATGCGACGCATCGCAGCCAAGTTTGTGCCAAGGCTCCTGTCTGAGGACCAGAAGCAGAATCGACTTCTCGTTTGTCAGGAGCTCCAAGATCTTGCAAGAACCGACCCCAACTTCCTTTCTAAGGTTTCCTCTTCCCAAAGATGAAAATTCAGCTAAAGGGAAGGAGATTTGAGACGATAGAAGAGATTCAGGCAGAATCGCAGATGGTGCTTGACAGGCTGACAAAGAAAGATTTCCAGGGATGCTTCCAGGCTTGGCAGCGGCGCTGGGATCGTTGAGTTCACTCCCAGGGGAACTACTTCGAGGGTGATGGATGAATTTAATACCTGAGATAAGTGTACGGGTTTTTATACGCGCAGTCTTGAAACTTTCCGATCGCACCTCGTATATAAGGGAACTTCCAGGAACGTGGGAAATTCTCAAGATCTGGTAGGTTTAATGCTACACAACGTTCGTTGCGGGGAATACGACTTGTGGGCAAAACAGTGGATCACGAAAGCCAAAGTATTTGCCAAAAAACCCTTAATCATTGATTGTTTAATATGCACGAAGTTCATAGAAAGAATACATTATCGTCTCCGTCCGTATGTCAATTCGATTTAACTCGAGAACCACTGGACGGATTTCGATTAAATTTGTTGTGAATGTTTAGCTATTCTGCATGACTTCAAAAACGTATCTTGAATATCCTACGCGCAGTGATAACAAAATGACGGAATACTTTCCTAACTTGTTTTAAGGCAGATCGACATAACAAGCCTATATGAAAAATTTGTTGTTTTTTTTTCAGCGGACTGCAGTTGTAGTTAATTCGTTAATTAACTCAGATAAAAAATTATGTACCAAGCACCTTACAAAGATTTTGCTCTTTGCAGATGGAAGGAAATAAAGGAACACGTAAAGAGTATATTTTCAGTGTCATGGTGGGGCGGGGGGGAAAGACGGTTTGCGTGTTCTGAGTTTTTAAAGAAGGTGGTTCGTGGGGAGGGGGGGGATGTGTGGGCGCATGATGCTGCAACTACGCAGCAATTGTCAAGGTAAGGTTTGCAATGGACCTCAAGGTTATTTCTGGGGTGCCTATATAAGTTGCTGGTTTGTCCAGATAAGACAGTCGTCAACAAATCGCGGAAGATACCTCAACACCATGTTCAAACTGGTACGTATCAGGCAAGGACATATATATCCATCAAACGTAGAGGTTTTTTTTGGTAGCCCCAAAAAGAAGGACTCAACCATCCAATAAAATCTTGAATCATTTATGACTGACGTCCAGGGTTCAATAAGATTTCTGTCATCAGCCTCCTATCAAAGATATATTAACTGTAAGGACTAGCAATTTTCATAAAGTTCCGACTTTCAGAATTCTCGAAGGTAGCTAAATGTTCCAGCAAAACCCCTTCTTGCACTGATATTGTGCCCTGGCTACAGGAATAAATTTTACTCAGATAACTGCCCATATTTATCTAGTGCATAACAGAGCACAAACTGAAGAAATGAGTGTATCTGATCATGAAGGTGTACCCTGCCTCCTCACATTTATTAGCAGTACTTACAAGCTACATTATCTCATGTCCTTTAGTTAAAAGATACAATAGTCCCTTCATGCCCTTGTTTCGTTATACTGACAAAGAACTAATATCATGAACGCTAACAATTTGAGAGCAGACAGTCTTACAGTGTTTATGGGTATTATTTACAAATAAAATATACTCTGATCATAAAAGGTAAATTTTCAATATGCCTACACCATAAAGGCTGGAGACAGAACTCTTAAGTCATTCTACCTGGTACATAAAGGGGGTAAGTTATCAGCGACCTGTGGAGAGCATCTGGTATCTCTTATATGGAACAACTAGTTCAGATATGGTAGCAAAAACAAATTAAATGTCACGTTTTAAAACAAATGTAAATAATATTTAAGAAGTCAAATTTTACTTCACAGGAAACATTACATCTCCATCACAGAGATCACGTGGTTAATGCCGCTTAGAGAAAGAACTGCTGTCTCTCAAATCATATGAAACCCATGAAAACATTTTGTCGACAAAATACAGTTTTGTTGACTATCAAAACTGGTGGTACATATAATTATCATTTGGCTTTAAAGAGTTAGGCTGATTATTAAAGAAACGTGTCTCGAGACTAGAGATTTCTTGACCAGCCGAATGACTATTTATTACCATTTCCTGGAATTAGTAACCTAACCTCACATTTCTCAGTAGCATTACGTAAGCCATTACACAGCCTCAGTCACACCAGAATCTAGAGTGTAGAAATAAAGTTCATCACATGATATCTAAATTGTAGAGACCAGAAGAAATATTATTTTGGTGAAAGGACTTATTTGCCAAGGGATTTCAATGGCGTGTGTGTTTCAGTTTATTCTTCTTGTCGCCCTGTTGGCTGTTCTGGCCGCAGTGAGAGCAGCCCCTCAGATCCTTGCCGTTCCCTATGGCTACGGTTACTATGGCACCTACGGCTATCCCTACAGCTATGGCACTTACTTGTACCGTTAAGATCACGGTGAGTATATCTAGTCCTCTTTCCGTCTTCGTAAAATATACAATAAAAAGCAACTTAATACTACTCGGATTAATATTAAGACATAATTCCGTCATTTGACTCAGTTCTGAACCAGTTTAATCCGATCCACATTCGCATGACCGATTTATCAAAGCTCCATTTTAACTATCTCATTATTCCCTAACAAAATTCCGTGTTTCTTGTTTCCCTTAAGGTTAATCACAATGCAACCACTCAGTAGGTCTTACTAAAATTCAGCGCCCCTTCCAGAATTTCAAAAAGTACAAGAAAATAAAATAAAGTCAAAAAGGGGGCAGTGGAATTGACTGGTCTAATACCATCAGAAAACATCAAATTTAAATAGTGTGACGTGGCGTTAAAAATTCTTTGCTTTTGAAACTAATTTTAACATCAGCACAATGCTTTCAATAATAAAGTACTTAACATCTCATGCCTGCATGAGTGATCTAACTATAGATTCATGTTATTTTACCAGCATCTTTACTCTTTCCTGTCTTGAATACAGAATCACTTCACATGGCTTAAAAAATGTAAATTGATACAAAATTTTAAGAAATATTTCCATTACTGTTACTGAAAGTTCTTTCAAAACACTTAAGATCTATCAAGTAAGTTGGCTCAAATGGTAAGCCTCTAACCTTTATTCAGAAAATGTCTGGTGTGTTAGAACACCTTACTAAGGCTGAGGTTTCGTGTGGTTTTCCTTAGTCCCTCCAGGCAAATGCCTCGGAAGTACTTTCAGGTTCACTATTCAGTGGTTATGATATCATGTCATTGCTAATGTGAAATAATGTCTGTGATCAATACAGTATTGTTAAACAGTCTATGATCCAACCTAATAAAAACTTAAAGTCAATGTCTCCCAACCCTCTTTCCATGGAGGAACCCCAAAAATAATTGTTCATATCCTAAGGTAGTGGTATTCAACCTTTTTTGTTGGCATACCCCCAGATATAATTTCTCTTCAACTTTGTACCCCCAAAGTTGTTGGTGTATAATTTAAGTTATACATAGTATATAATCTACATCTAAAAATAAATTAAATAAATTACATTACTGATTATTCAGTGTTTATCATAAATAAATATATTTTTTTTAAATTTCACGTACCCCCTAAGATTCTTCGCGTACCCCCGGGGGTACGCGTACCCCAGGTTGAATACCACTGTCCTACGAAAATATTCCAGAAAGTGTTGATAGCTGGGAGCACAATTCAATTACTGCTAAATTATTGTCAAGAAATTTTATTTATTAAGAGTTGTTATATTGAAGAAAAAATTTAAGCATTATCCCTACCTTTTTTTAATATCAACATATAAAATCAAAATTAATTTCACAGTCAATATAAGGTTTACTTTTGGTGTGACAATTGGGCTGCTTCTTTTTATACAAATGTCGAATTCTTGGGCGAATTTTAGACAAACACGATCACAGTTTTTCCTCGACAGACAACAGACGATTTGTCAGACATGAGAAAGCTTGTCAACAGAGGTTATTTACTTATCCCATGATTTCTCACGTAACCCCTGATGATGTTTTGTGGAACCCTGGTTGTTAAACACTACCATAAGTCATCAGAGTGAGTACAGCACAAAACACCACAGGAAGTTTATTCTCGCACCAAATGTCCAAAGCCTACAACATTTTACAAACTGCATTAAATTTTACTTCTGACATTCAGAGTTTGATACTAGAAACAGCTATTTCTCTAATCGGGAATCTCTTTTAAAGTAGGGTCAGATCTATTCTGGAGGGTCTGCACAAATGAGTGATATCATATGCATTTTTAAAGCACCAAATACAAGTTGTTCCAGTATTAAAAACAAACCCTGAAGAAGGGAGAAGCAGAAATGTTTTAGTAGGATTTTAGGTTTCCACGGCAGCGAGTCCAAAAGATGACTGTTTTCTCAGTTGTAGCTCCGTGTAATCTGTTAGTTTGTCAATGTTTCAGAGGTCCTTGCTGCTTCCATCATCAGGGCAATGATGACATTTGCAGCACGAACATCTCAAACTTTGGTAAACTTCTACCAGAGAACATGGTGCTACAACCCAGAAGACAGCCTTCTTAGAAATGTTTTTATCTCAGAAATTGAATATGGCAAAATAAGTAGGTGATAATGTGAAATTAGTCATCAGTACTTCTAATACAGTTAGATGCCTTTTTCCAAACATTGAAAATGGCCACAGTAATGTTTATAAATTCTACAATGAATAAGTAAAATTCCTCCAGACAGCCCCAAAGAACTCGGACCCCATTTATTAGCATCCGAGGGCCATATTATGCATGTGACTAACTTATTTCCAGGTTGTTCGTTCACTATTCCTCTGGAATTTTGTCACGGTGGGTTTCACAACAAGTGAGACGCTTTAATAGCCAGAGAGTACTTGAACACCATGAATATGTATTACTTCAAACAAGTTACAAGGCCACTAAAATATACAAATATTACAAGTAGATGTGTCTGCAACATAACATGTGATTCAATGTATGATCTCCTTGAATCATTTTAGTGCAAATTAATTACACTACACAAATGTTTTAGTAGTTAAAAGAGGCAATCTGTAGAATTTTAATTGCCATCTACTGAGAAAAGTAATAAATTATTATATTATTAAATCCAGACCTACTCTGGGGCCCACCCATCCACCTATCTAATGGGTACCAGGGTTCTTTCTTGGGGGTAAAGCGCAGCTAGGGCGTGATGCAGACCACTCACCCCCATCTAGTGCCGAGGTCAAGAAATATTAGAAGCTACACCTCCTCTCCCCTGAAACCTACGTGGCATATAGCAGGGCAGCTTTACTTTATTCTTTATTGTAAGATGGCTGAACTATAAAACACTAGCAATGCAGGGACACTCCTTAATTTGCATGTGCTACTTCTACAGCCTAAATATAATAATTTCACATATAATAACATATAAATAAGGATTGGGTTATATCTCTGTATGTGCTTGGATTTAAGTTGCATCCCTTACAAAATTTCCAAATCTGTAGTTCATCTGTATGACAATAAGGAAACTATACACAATGTCATTTGATCCTTTACCCATGACTGCTTAATCAGTTATTTCTTACTAATTAGCATGATACACCGAAATGTAACTTACTGATCTTGTAGAATATATCTAGAATAAAGCAAATGTAAATTCTTATTGTTTGACTTATTTCAGTCTGAAAACAAACTAATATTAATTTTGTGCTCCATTACTGATTTCAGGTGAAAGCATCTGTTAATATTGCAGCTTTCAGACCATCTTCAACTAGCAGTGTACTACAGACTTCAAATATGGCAGCTATTATGAATTCTTCAACTGTTCATTAAACTTGCCTGTAATTTGTTTCCTATTTTGTTCTTTAAAATAAAATTATAAAGAAAACCAGCTTGTTCCTGACATGGAATTCTAAACATACAAAAACAAATTTTGAGCCCAAAATATTCTTTTTCATAATGCACCAAGCAGGGGAGGGGGATGGTGGTAGTGGTGAAATGTAAATACATAAGATTTATCTTATATTATTTTCTACTATTATAGCAACAATAAGTTCTTGGAGAAATTTATTACACTAATTTTCTTGAAATACTTCCATCTGATAAAAAGAATTAATATTTCATGTAATTATGTGGACAGTTTTATTAAAATTTCAAGCTTGTTTCTTCACAGTGTTTAAATTATAAAAACATGTAATGCACCAAATTTCACGCACATGCATACATACACTGTTTGTTGTTGATGACATGTTCTACATCCTTCGGTTTAGTCCTAAGAAGAATCTTTGGAATGCAAATAAACTCTACTCCACTTAGAGTATTTTGCAATTACAATGCTAGAATGTGAATAAGGTGAGAAAGAAACAAGCCAGCCAAACCAAGATATAGAAAAACATTCAAACAACCAACCAATGAGCTGATAAACATAAATGTACTTGGAAGGGAAATCTGTGATTAAGGCAGAAGAGAAGATGCAATCTATCATTTCTGTGGATAGCTGTTCTAAAATGAATGGATTCTATGCCTAAACTAGAAAGAATAAATTTGTGAACTTTAACTATATAATGACAATTAAGCATGATACCTCTGCAAATGTGTCACATAACCTCAATCTAACCAATTTCAGATTGACTGGACACCATTTGGTATTGCTAAATTTTTAATGGATACAAGGCATTAGCAAACATTTTCAATTGTAATGGACTTTATTCAGTTTTAATAGACAAAGTTTGCTAAAACTGAAAAATTCCACTAAATATCAATGGATGTTTTCTTAATTATATCTTTATACTGTAGTGTTTTAATTAATCTTGTGACATTGCAGGTATCCAGTTCATATCAGAAATCTACTTAACAGTATTCCTAATGAAGTATATGGGTTAAAAATGCATTAATAGCACCACAAAATATATTATGCAGTTTAATGGACAATAGGCATTATTAGACACCCCTTCACTCTATTAGTATTTTAATCATATATAAAATAATGTATAAAATATAACCTAAGGATAAAATCACAATTAAGTGACACAGGAACATCTCTGGCTACCAGAGCCCCTTACTACATGAGTAACTGTTATACAGTATAGATAGGAAGCAGAAATTTGGTAGATAAAACATAGCACCAACCTCTGTCACTGCATTGAACTCCAGAAAGCCACCGCCTCTCCACCAAGTCCAGATATATGGGCCACATGATCAGGAAGGCCAATGAGACTAAACTACACCGCAATAACATGAAAAGGGAGGATGACCTTCGCCTGAGACACTTTTTTATGACACGGTACACTTTCGTGCTCAGGTATAGTTCGTTAGGACTTGTCGGGGTTGTCAGATTAGGTTTGATTCCTCTAGATCAAATTGTTATGCGCCACTTTTCAAGTTCCATTCTTCTGCCCTAACCCTGACAATAGCAACTGAACTGCATAATTAATCTTTGAAAGATTTGTAACTCACGCACAAGTCACCCACTTCTTCGTCATTCACCTGAAGATCTGCAAAGAACATTTTTACAGGGTTACGTACATTCCGGCATTAATGTGGTCGAAGTTTCGGTGTTAAATTCACATATCATAATGGTGTGATTATATGCTTATACTGTATAAAAATTGAAGAATCCTGATCAGAAATTTCGGACTTAATTGTGAAAAACAAAACACTACATCCAAAATATCCACCACCACGTGTCACAACACACTACTATAAATTCAAGGCGAAAAACATGAGAGACTATTACTTTATACGAACGCTCGCGCGCGCACACACACAAACTCTTAACACAATTCAACTTAGATATTAAGTTATCTGTTTGTTTAAGTAGCACTACGTTGATAACAATCTGTGTTGTTGAAAGATTTCAAGGGCAAACATCACACATCACACACACACACACACACACACGTACAATCACCGCAAAGAGATTGAAAAGTACAGATATACCAACATACGATTTGGAGACGGTTATTGCGATAACTTTCGATAAATCAAGAGTTTGTGAGTCGAACCATCACATTTTCCCAAGCAAAAACGTTTCACAGGAAAGATATGACACTTCTAATTGATAAGCGAACCCAACTAAAACACTAGCACATGGCGTCAAAACGAAATAGTAAACCTGTGACTGAGTAATCATCTGTGACCAGCCGTTGTTGTTTGTTGTGAGGTTCTGAAATTTACAAAACTGAATTACAGTTTATTGTTTTCAGTTTAGAAATGAATAGGAAATCGGATAAAGTCTCTCCAACCTCTGCAGAAGGCGAGGAAGAATTTTTTGTGGAGAAGGTTCTTGATCGTCGTGTAAGAAACGGCAAAGTAGAGTACTTTTTGAAATGGAAAGGTTATTCGAACGAAGACAATACATGGGAGCCTCAAGAGAATTTGGATTGTCCAGACCTAATTTCAGAATTTGAAGAAAATCGAAAGAAAAAGGAACAAGCAAAGAAAGAAGATAAGAAAAGGAAGTCTAGTAGTACCCCTGTAGAAGATAAAAAGCCAGCTAAGAAGAAACAAAATGACGAAGACAAGAAACCCCAAGGTTTTGAACGAGGTTTGGAGCCAGAACGTATTATAGGAGCTACAGACTCGAGTGGAGAACTCATGTTCCTGATGAAATGGAAAGGGACTGATGAAGCAGATTTAGTTCCAGCAAAGAAGGCAAACATTACTTGCCCCCAGATTGTCATCCAGTTTTATGAAGAACGCCTTACTTGGCACAGTTCTACTCATGATGAAGATGACAAAGGTGAAGAGTAAAGACAGTTCTCCAGTTGGTATGTGTCGATAGGCATTGCAAATGGTAGGATATAATTTAATTGATATTGACTAAACCTGAACAATACAACTGTTTGCAGTGGTATGTGAGGAATCATTTTGCAGAGTATAACATCATTGTTATAACATAATTATCATATTACCCATGAATTTATTTATGGTTAAATTTCAGATTCAGCAGCTATTCATATCATTGTGTGAGTATGTGAGATCACTATTATGATCTTAATATAATGATGTAGGTATCACCATTATTGTAACAAAATGTTCGCTATAAGTCAGATGTTCAGGTATTTTGATATCAAGCCAGGTGTGTAGTTCACGATTCACTCATAACTTGATGGCAAAAATTTAGAATATGTAGCTGAAGGTATGAAGGTCTTCTGGGTTTTGTGGCATGTAGTCTGGTAGAAGTTCACCAGCATTTTAGAGGTGTTTGCTGCCTCCAAAAACCCAGAAGACAGTCAACCTCATTCTCACCTCTGTAAGAACCTCAAATCTCTCTTAGCTATTGGTATTTATCTTCCATGCATCTTGATACTTATTAAATTAGGGGTTCTCTATCTTTTCCAGACTGAAGGCCAAACTCGCTCTCGCTTATCGACTTCTGGACTGCAGAGTTATAAATGAGGGTAATTGTTGAGACTTCATGGAAATTTATTAACAGTGTTACAAATTTACAATTATAAACAAGTTCATATATCACTGTAAAAAAATTTTGACAAAGGCATGTCATTATATTCTGGATATTTTCATTTACATATTAATTTAAAATTTAAAAATGTTTAAAATTTATGTTTCTAAAAGTGGGTATGCTGCCACCAGGTAAAACCATATAACCTAGTCAGTTAGTCATTGGATCTTGAGATTTTGATTAGCTCTTTCCTTTTAATCAGCTGACTGGGTTGTTTGGTTTTCCTATTGACACAAGTAGAGTAAACTTCTGAAACTATCACCCACTGATTTTCTTTATTAAAATCAATCAGTGGTGAAACATCTGATGCTGCTTTTGCTTGTGTAATATTTCAGTATCAAGTTTAATTTCTATTGCCGAGATTCACGTACATCGCTCCTAACATTCACCAATAAGACACGTCCTAGTTCTTGACACTTCATCTGTGTGAACATTTGCTCACAGTGACAGAGACTGACACATACTGATTAAATATTCTCTGATATCAGGGAAAATGTTTTTCATCATGCAGGTTAACAGGTTTTCCAAAAATGTACATGGGCTCCACAATACACATCATAGTGCTGCAAACAGCCCACAGGTTGAGAACCCCTGTAATGAAAACTGCTTATGCTGACAGGAGGGGGAGTTGGTAAACGATTGACAAGAGATGCACTAATTTAATAATTTTGCTTAGTGATTCATTGCATATTCTCATAGCGAAGTATCATGTAAGAGCATCAAATTAACTTTTTTTTATAATAAACATGTTTAAATGTTCTAGTAAAATGTATAGCTTCCTTACCTCTGTATTTACAAATTAACAGTTTCATAATATTTCAGCTTTCATCTGTGACAGATTTAAGATGTACACAGTTGCTGTTGACATTGTCATACCTGTTATAAGTAGACATGAGATAGTGTTAAGAGATAGCCCTCCTGTAGCAATCTTACTTTGACACTTGTTCAGCACCTTTGCACTGGTATACAAAAAAATTACATCATTATACACTGATTAATTGGTAAGTGTAAAAAGGTTTTGATATGTTCCCACAAAAATTTACTAATGTAGTTCTCAAAGTGTAAAAGTATTACTCAAGTTGTAAAAAAAGGTACTGTATTATGTTTCTAATGTGAATCTATAATTATTAGATTTTAAAATGTGAGAACCTAAAATATTCAGTGTGTTATATTATCATACTGAATTAATACAAGGTTAGTACTGATTTATTGTACCATCTAAAATAGTAAAGTACAGTAAATATTTTAATCATTCCATTGAATTTTGATTTCACTGTGTATTGCAATTTACCACTTCAACCAGAATGCTTCAGCTGTTCTAGTCATAAAGTAAATAGCCTGTATAGAGGTCGCGCGAGTAGTCGTGGCACCTAAATGTGCAATGTGCAACATGAGAGAGGGGAGTTCAATAGTAGTGGGGTCCACACAGCCTTAGCTGCGGTGATGCACACACACAGCTAGAGCTACAAACCAACTGAAGCTGACACCCCTCTAGCACGTGCTTCAGATGGATCCATCTCATACGACAAAAATCAGTCCTTTGTGCAAGTGCCAGCACTTCTCACTCAGCCTCTAGCATTTGCAAGCATTAGGACCAGCTCTCTTCATTTTCTTACACATTGCTTTCTCTTTGTAGGTTGAATGAATACAAATTTTAGTTGCAGGATAGGAAGGTCGAAGCGTTGGTCTTCTGGGTAGTAATGCCATGTTAACTTGTACGTATTTGCTGGAACATACCGCCTTAGTTCAACTCTAATGGAGGCAGTATGTTCCTACAGTGCATTGGCCTTATACCTACAAGTCCATGTAGTATTATTACCTGACCAACAGTGACATGTTCACCAGTAAGAAAACCTCAAATCTCACCATTCCATAATATTTTGTGTTTGATACATTTTTGCTTTGACATTTCGATACCAAGTACAAAAAAGAATGGTTACACATATCTAAATAGTACCAAAAAACCAATGTATTTTATGTTTTGTATTAATTATTTTCATGATGGAAATACATAAGATCAAATTTGAAAAGCTATCTCAGAAGTAATGTCTTTGTGTTGCTCCAAAAACAGCAAGTATCAAGCCAAGCACTGAAGAATGGTCTGAAGCTTTCACAGTGACTAAGTATAATGAATTCTTCTTGGGTACTTCTGTAGGGAAGAATTCATTATACCAAGAACTGAAAACCATCTAAACCTGCAACAGCAGAAATCTCAAAAATGCCCACCAGGGCAGTACTGGAGGAACAAGGATAGCTGGTACTGATGTGTATATTTAGCACCAGATGGCAAAAGGATTCAATATATGTGGGGCTCTTTCGACACATAGTTTTGCTACAGGTTTGGTAACATGAGGGTCAAACTTGGAATCCGACTGTCCCATTTCTGGCTGCTTGAATCAAGTGATGTTCTGTGTCCTGATAAAAATTTGGTTGTTGCAGTTAGTGTATCTCCTTAACTATTAAGCCACACATTATAGTTTCACGTAGTGCCTTTACTGTGTGTGTGTACAGACAAGAAATCAAGAATAACTGAAATCCTTAACAGCTAACAGTACTCCATGATTCACTGTTGTTTATGGATATTCTTTTCTAAAACCAAACTTTCTCTTAAACTGAATATCAATGGAATATAACTGATGCATTGCTCTTCGGTTCATAGTATTCTCAAGTGTCTTAGAAAACCATGTTACAAGAGAAATTGTTTTGTAATTTGATATGTTTGTCTTGTTTCTTATTTATATAGTGTTTTTATGATTAAGCACTTCAATTTATCTGGGAGAGTTTCAGTAGCTAATGAATGTGACTGATAAGGACTAACAGGAGTGAGTTGAAAGGATTTTGTTATTCAGTGAGATAATCATATCTGGATGAAGGTTTGCTTTTAACAGATTGGAAGATTCATACTTTGCTTGCGGAATAAGAAAGAAAACTATGCACGAACACATCGGTATTTTACAGATAAGTAATACAGAGGTGTGAATGAGTTGATGAATAAAAACAATCCACCTTCCTTCTAATGGCAGTTCCAACCAACTTATCAGTAACATGAAGATTTCTGGGTTGTTGTGCTGTGTAGTCTGGTTGATGTTTACCAACGTTTCAGAGGCCATACTGCCTCCGTCATCAGGGCAAATTGGCATATTCATTGCCCTGATGACGGAGGCAGTATGACCTCTGAAACGTTGGTAAACATCGACCAGACTACACAGCGCAACAACCCAGACGACAAAAATCTTCACTATCTGACTTTCTGAACAACCAAAATAATTAATTAGTAATCTGTCATCACTCACCTCAGACTTCAGGACACCCTTCCATCATCATGGTGACTCACTGCCCTGATGATGGAGGCAGCAAGGACCTCTGAAACAGTTGGTAAACTTATACCAGATGACAGGATGCTACAATCCAGAAAATAGCATCTTTGTACTCACCGTCATGAGAACATCAGACCCTATAGGGATATGATTGTCCCTTTACTTCATCCATGTTTTCATATATATTTTTATATCTGAAGTACAGGTACACATTTAAATACAACATAAATATTTAAAATTTCTTACCAGTAATATTAAAATAGTTAATGACTTGTTATAAAATTATAAGATAAAACATGAAACAAATATAATTTTCAGGAAGAAGAAAATGGATTATATGAAAGATAAAAAAAAATGGCTGTCTTTAGACAGCCATCTGCATACTCACTGCTGTAATAATCTAAAATCACATATTGTCTCCATTTGAAGAGGCTGAAGATGAAGACAGTAAGTCTCTCTAAAATGCTGGCATCTACCAGCATGTCTACATGGCACCAACACCCAGATCATCATCCTCTGCTGTGAAAACTTAAATTCTCATTCACAGTAAGATTTTTCAAATTTGAAGCTTACTTCCATTTATTATCAGACCTACCATGGAGGACTGTTGTATTCTTTGCATCTTTAAGCGGCAATTACAATTAATATTTCATACAAATACGCTGTGACATCCAGCCCAAGCTGCAGACACGTAGAAGGTAGAGGAAGTTTTGAAGAATACCTCTGCAATGAATGTACAAGATGAGATGTAATTGTATTATTTACAAGTAAAATGTCTAAGTTACACTGTGATCACATTTCCCTATCACCCAATGTACTTTCCACAATGACAACAGTAACCAGCACATTTAAACTTAACTAACATCTAGTGATGGTGTTTCTCTCCAGCACTGGTAAATCCCAGCAGAAAACAAACACATTGCACTGTTATCCAGACAAGTTTCTGCCAATTCCTATAAAAGGCAGCTTCTTCTATCCACAAATAAATTGATCTGTGCTAAAAGAACCCCATGGCCAAATACCAAAGCTACCAATGGACCCTATTGTGAGTTACTTGACCATAATTCCCATCCTCTAAACCTATTTCTTTAAAAAAAATTTAGAATAATTTCCATATTTTATTATTAACGCATAACATGGTCTCATGCTCACTGACACAGCTTAAGGCCTCAGAACGTCAAAGTCTGGCCTTGGATGGGAGGGTAATACCAAAATGAATCTGAAAGAAACAAGTTTTGAAGTTGTAAATTAACTCAGGGTCTGTAACAGAAAATCTTATCAGCTGAAAGACCATCAGCTGTTCAAGGAATAATACCGAGTCATAGCGTCAGTTACAAGTTACATCACAATAGTTTAAATTTTAGTGTTTATTAGAAACTGTCATGATGATCATTATCTACATCACCTATTTTTGCCTTGTTTTACAGAGACGACAGTAAGGCAGCATCCAAAACATTATAAATTCACTCAATCATGAAGCACCTCACAGTTCAAGAAAATGTTCCTGAAAAAACAAAAGCCATTGTTTAGTAGCTTTGATATTTAAGATTGTTTCACATTTTTGTATCAATAAGTATGTACGTACAGCAAACTCCATTTTCACCAATTAAAGAAAGTCAACTGACGTTGCAAAGTCAAAGTGAATTGACTTTTGCAAAGTCCTTCCAAATAATGCACTGCTTCTATTGCACATTCAAATTTTTATCATTTTCTATTCCTGAATGCTATGTATCTATTTCATGCTTGGATGAAGGAACATTCATGACACATAAAATAAATTATTCTCTCCCCACAAGAACTTGCCAATTCTGTAAAATTCTCCAGTATACACATATTAATTACAACTCTGGCACAAATCATTGCAACAAAAATATTTTAAAAAAGGAACCCCTCCATTGAAAATCACAAAACAGTGTAAAAGAGAAACACCTTTGTGGTCCACAGTACAAATACTGAAATCCTCTCAGTCTCAGAAATAATAAAGAAAAAATGAAGTCATAACATCTTTGGAATTTGATATATGGAAATATAACGTGTGACTCAAAGCTCCTGAAACAACAGTATTTAGACTTCATGGTCCTCTGTTCATCTTAGGTTCTCAGTATTCTACTTGTCTATTTATCATAAAATGAACACATAATAGGGAGGTCATATCCATCCATATGTTTCATCTCTGAAACAATTTGTCAGCTTTTAATGAAGTTTAGCATTTAATGTCTAACTCTAAACTTCAGTTCATACCAGTCCAACATAATATGTACTTTACCACAGGCACTCAAATTAACCTTATCAGTTTTCTTTAAAACATTCATATTATATATCTTATTAAGACTTTTACTGAAATATTCTTCAATATGATGGATATTTAACAAAATACAAAGAGACAATTTCTGATTTTCTTGAGTGTAATAATAGCCTTCAAACACTGACTTTGCATTTTCAATAATAGATTTGTGTCAAGGCCAATGAAGAATGCAAAATCACAAAGAACACATTTGCAAAATATTTCTTGTTAAGATTAAAGTTAAATTTTATTATGAAGTACATGCAGTTTTTCATGAATTACTTTGACAGCAAAATAAGATGTGATGCTGATAATGTGGCAATATGAGAAATATATGGAAAGTAGAAAAGGCAGATTTGTCAAAGTTAACAAATCTGTTCACTGTATTATGAAATAAAGAGTTTTGAGAAATCTTCAAGATCATAACTGGAATAGTTTGTTACAAACAATAAATGCCTCATATGTTACATGACATTTGTTTCTGTTTAGAAATAAAGCTAAACACTTCAGCTGTATGAACATCTTCTGTTTCTGGTACCATGAGTCACACACTGGTTTCCCCTTCTACACTTCTATCATGACTACACATAAGAGTAGTAATCTCATAATCACAATATCAATATTTGGTTTCAGCCAATGACAGTATTTTCTCTCAAAATAAGAAGCATATTAACAGTTACTATAAGAGGTGCAAATACCAATAAACAGACAAAACAACTCCACATCAATGCTACTTTCATGACAGTCAAAAATTCCGAATGTGATGCATGCATTTATGCTTTAACTTCATGTCACAACTGACAGATGGCTCTCACAATCCTCAGGTATAAATACATAACTACACAACACTAAAATAAAATCTCATTGACTATCAGTATTTCAACACAAATACAAAAATTTGTCCATTTTGACAAAATTACTGGGCTTCAGATGACACTCCGGTCAGTGGTGGCAGAACCAATCATGAGGCCCTGGGAAAGATTGATTAGCAAGGCCCCTACAGAAAAAAATTAGGTGATTCCAATTATTATAATTTTAATGATTTGAAAACTACCTCTGTAGAACTGACACCCGATTCATGTAAGTCTTCCATTTTTTCCAGCTGTAAATCCTAACATGGATAATTATTGACATATATGAATTGTGATAATGTGACTGAGCAGTACACAATCAATCTACTGTCAACAATAGCATTTTATGGAAGGCATTTATAAATTATTGGTTACTCTCTACAGGCTTTTATCAAAAACGTTATCAGTTCTTTCTTCAATGTTGTCAGACTCGGATAAAAGCACATGTATAAGACAAACTACAGTAACACTAGAAAGAGAAAAGGCAATTCCAATATATACAAGTGTGAGGCACGCGAGGCCCTGGGCCATTGCACACTTGGCCCACGCCATAAGCAGCCAATGACTTCAGTGTAATCAGGATGTGTTAAAAGAGTGGAATAATGTGGTACATCATTACTCATAAGAAATCATAATACATGTATCATACCACACTTAATGATCCTTAACTTTATATTATCATTTGAGTCAACACAGCAGCTACTAATGTTTGTAGCCATGATGCATTTAGAACACAGTGTTTTAAATTTAAGGACAAAACTGTTTTAAACTTACAAAGAAACCTATCATGTGACAGGTTACTTGATATTAAACTTAAAATTATCATAGGTAATAAACAATATGCTGTATCACATAATAACAGACAACCTATCAAATGCAGAGAAAAGAATAAATAAGGATCTCTCATGACACAAGGAATGCAGTGCTGAATCTAGTGGCTCAGGGGCATGTCACCTTGAAGTGTTCCTCTTGAACAAGTATGATAAAATTTGGTGAGATAACAGATTCTCATGGCAGCATGAAAATGGTTGTCTTCTGGGTTGTAGCACCATGTAGTCTAGTTGAAGTATACCAGTGTTTCAGAGGTCCTTTCTGCCTCCATCATCATGACAAGTGAGGAAACACTGGTATACTTCAGCCACATAACATGGTACAGGCACCTCTGAAATGATAATAAACTTCTATAAACTCTACTGTGCAGTACCCCAAAAGATAATCTTCATGAAAGAAAATTTTGTTCATGACATATACTAGAGTTTCTCATTATCAAACACATTGAACTGACACTGATATTAGAGCAGAGGTTGCCAATTGTAGCAAGTGGGGCAAGTACTCTTAATATGCATTCACTACCACTTTAATTAAAGGTCATTAAATATCAATTTAATCCCTAAAGGGAAATTATCATATGGCACATAAAAGTGAGTAATGGTTTATATACCATGCATTATATGCATTACTTATGAAGAATTATATATGTTACACATTTCCAAGCTATGAAAAATCCACATATATTTGATTCTAGTGTTATTATGAAGATTAACACAGCATCACTAGATGTCTGCATTACATAAATCAATGTGGAGGGGACAATATTTAAATTTACTGTAAGACCAACAGACCTTAACCCTTGGAATGGAACAGAATCCTCTATTTGTTTCTGCATCTTAAGCAATCTCTCATCTCCCCCTTTTCTTCCTATGAAATGAAAGTAATATAAAAAGTGGCATTAGTATGATAAGCTGAGATACAAGATTGTATCCTCATCACATCTTCCAATTTTACTATGCACAGCAACATTTTGCTTACTGTTACACAGTACAATTTCTTTCTTCTCTGCAAAAAAAATTGTTCACAATGTTAATGCACCATATCTTACATCAGCCACTCAGACACATTAATTATGCCAACAGTGTACCCTCAAACACACAGCTAGCAGAAGACATACAGTGCACTTAGCAGGGGGGAAGAGATTTTACTCAAAAGCATGGTTATCAGAGGAATCTCCACTTGTCATTCACATATTTTCTAGGGTTTTAGATCTGTTAGCTGTGCTGTGCAATGAATAAACTTATTTTCAATGAGTATTACACAGATGTGGAATACCAAGACACAGTAGTATTCTATGACTTTTAAGAAATGCTTAACTACAGACGCAAGAATTCCAATCCTCCCCCTCAGCCACTCAAGAGGAGGAAGGATACTTAGAGCTGACCTTTCAGGTTCTACTCAACATGCGACGTGACCCAGTTTTGAACTACAAATGACAGCTGTCATACCACATGCTTATCAGTGTTACATTCAAATTCTGGTACTCTTGTGGGTCAACAAAATTATACAAAATAAATACTATTTGGTTTACAAGTAAGTTTTGCAATAATGTGTGATCAGGTACTACCTCCGACATGTTCACTGGTTCTCAGTTATAAGGAATAACTCTGCTCTGGATGAACAGAAGTTTATGAAATTTGTTATTCAAAGTCTGTACTAAAATTTATCACTCAATCTGAACTCTGCTCCAAATTGCATAAATACCGCTTTATATGCAGGCAAGAATAAATTTACGCATGCGTATGTTTATATGCACTGAGTACAAAAGAAAATGTTTCAGACACAGTTATATCTCTTGATGACATAAACATTTAATGCTAAAAATTATTTCTTTGTGCGATGTACTGTTTTCTTGATAATGTGCATCAAACACGATTAGTAAACTTTTACATCACTGTTAACTCAAGAATAACTTTAGATAAAACAAAACGTCTTCACCATTATTGTTATGTAAATATGCTGATAGGTGAAATCGCAGATTAAATTTTTCAACTTTCAACATGTTACAGAAAGACATTAACCCTATTCCACATACTAAAGTTAATTATAGTCAGATTATAATGTGGGAATCCTACGTGGTTTACGAAAGTGTCCAAATTTGTTAAACCATAACAAAGAAGGAAACAAACTTGAGAATTGTGTCAGTAAAAATAATATTCCAAAATGTCAGAAATACTTGAAAACACTTCCAAGCAGCAAAGACAGGTTACCTTTCTTCTGGAGTTGCCTTAAATATTCTCAACCAGTGGAACTTCAATAGATGATGGTTTCTTGGACTTTGTCCATTGTCCTATATTCTATAAACAGATAATTATTTTAGGTAGATGGATGTGCAACTGTCTTCAGATTCCTACTCAGTTGGATCCATTACAGGGGGATAATCCACTGATTGGTGTTAATCCTCTCCAATAGACCTGTACCCTCACCTGAAGGCAGGAGCAAATCCAACTACTGACAAATTGTATTATATTTGTTGAACACAGGTGGATGGACAAAGTCAGAAAAAACTAACAATACCAACAATGTAAGTTTCTAACCTAACCATGCAAATTACCAACATTCACTTTGTACTATTATGACATTGATTCTCTACATAAAAATAAAGGTGCTTCTGTATGTAGCAACACACAATAAAGACATGGAGGTAAAATGGTCCAATTATAGACCTCAGCATTAGAATGAGGTGAGTAGCTTAATGCTTCTCCTGCCTTACCACAGCGTAAAAGCTTACAGTATCCACTGGGTAAGAGGTAGGCTCCAGATAATTTTGGATGTGATGCAAGAGAAAAATCAGTCCTTTGCTGTAAATCAAACCCTGGTCATCTAAAACACAGCCAGTCACTCTGATGAGCTTACAATTTAAGCGGCCAAAGAATACAGCTTACTCTGAGACAAATGACACATAATCTACATACCAGTAACTAATATCTGAGTAATGGTATATATAAAAATTAAGCCTGTGAATGTGTAAGACCAACAGACCTTAACCCTTGGAATGGAACAGAATCCTCTATTTGTTTCTGCATCTTAAGCAATCTCTCATCTCCCCCTTTTCTTCCTATGAAATGAAAGTAATATAAAAAGTGGCATTAGTATGATAAGCTGAGATACAAGATTGTATCCTCATCACATCTTCCAATTTTACTATGCACAGCAACATTTTGCTTACTGTTACACAGTACAATTTCTTTCTTCTCTGCAAAAAAAATTGTTCACAATGTTAATGCACCATATCTTACATCAGCCACTCAGACACATTAATTATGCCAACAGTGTACCCTCAAACACACAGCTAGCAGAAGACATACAGTGCACTTAGCAGGGGGGAAGAGATTTTACTCAAAAGCATGGTTATCAGAGGAATCTCCACTTGTCATTCACATATTTTCTAGGGTTTTAGATCTGTTAGCTGTGCTGTGCAATGAATAAACTTATTTTCAATGAGTATTACACAGATGTGGAATACCAAGACACAGTAGTATTCTATGACTTTTAAGAAATGCTTAACTACAGACGCAAGAATTCCAATCCTCCCCCTCAGCCACTCAAGAGGAGGAAGGATACTTAGAGCTGACCTTTCAGGTTCTACTCAACATGCGACGTGACCCAGTTTTGAACTACAAATGACAGCTGTCATACCACATGCTTATCAGTGTTACATTCAAATTCTGGTACTCTTGTGGGTCAACAAAATTATACAAAATAAATACTATTTGGTTTACAAGTAAGTTTTGCAATAATGTGTGATCAGGTACTACCTCCGACATGTTCACTGGTTCTCAGTTATAAGGAATAACTCTGCTCTGGATGAACAGAAGTTTATGAAATTTGTTATTCAAAGTCTGTACTAAAATTTATCACTCAATCTGAACTCTGCTCCAAATTGCATAAATACCGCTTTATATGCAGGCAAGAATAAATTTACGCATGCGTATGTTTATATGCACTGAGTACAAAAGAAAATGTTTCAGACACAGTTATATCTCTTGATGACATAAACATTTAATGCTAAAAATTATTTCTTTGTGCGATGTACTGTTTTCTTGATAATGTGCATCAAACACGATTAGTAAACTTTTACATCACTGTTAACTCAAGAATAACTTTAGATAAAACAAAACGTCTTCACCATTATTGTTATGTAAATATGCTGATAGGTGAAATCGCAGATTAAATTTTTCAACTTTCAACATGTTACAGAAAGACATTAACCCTATTCCACATACTAAAGTTAATTATAGTCAGATTATAATGTGGGAATCCTACGTGGTTTACGAAAGTGTCCAAATTTGTTAAACCATAACAAAGAAGGAAACAAACTTGAGAATTGTGTCAGTAAAAATAATATTCCAAAATGTCAGAAATACTTGAAAACACTTCCAAGCAGCAAAGACAGGTTACCTTTCTTCTGGAGTTGCCTTAAATATTCTCAACCAGTGGAACTTCAATAGATGATGGTTTCTTGGACTTTGTCCATTGTCCTATATTCTATAAACAGATAATTATTTTAGGTAGATGGATGTGCAACTGTCTTCAGATTCCTACTCAGTTGGATCCATTACAGGGGGATAATCCACTGATTGGTGTTAATCCTCTCCAATAGACCTGTACCCTCACCTGAAGGCAGGAGCAAATCCAACTACTGACAAATTGTATTATATTTGTTGAACACAGGTGGATGGACAAAGTCAGAAAAAACTAACAATACCAACAATGTAAGTTTCTAACCTAACCATGCAAATTACCAACATTCACTTTGTACTATTATGACATTGATTCTCTACATAAAAATAAAGGTGCTTCTGTATGTAGCAACACACAATAAAGACATGGAGGTAAAATGGTCCAATTATAGACCTCAGCATTAGAATGAGGTGAGTAGCTTAATGCTTCTCCTGCCTTACCACAGCGTAAAAGCTTACAGTATCCACTGGGTAAGAGGTAGGCTCCAGATAATTTTGGATGTGATGCAAGAGAAAAATCAGTCCTTTGCTGTAAATCAAACCCTGGTCATCTAAAACACAGCCAGTCACTCTGATGAGCTTACAATTTAAGCGGCCAAAGAATACAGCTTACTCTGAGACAAATGACACATAATCTACATACCAGTAACTAATATCTGAGTAATGGTATATATAAAAATTAAGCCTGTGAATGATACATATTAACCTGTGCTTTTGGGGATATTTGAGCACACACTGAAACCAGTGAACTAAAATCTTTCTCTACAAAGCAGTCTTTTCACATGGTGATAAATATGAACATGCCTGTCTTGTGGGATGTTGCACTGTCTTTTCTGTAGATACTAACATTTCGGAGGAGTTTACTGCCGCCATCATCACAGCGGTGGACACGGTAAGCTCCTCCAAAAACCCAGTATCTACAGACAAGACAGTGCAACATCCCACAAGACAGCCATCTTCAAGCAGTCTTACGACCACTGGTAAGAACAAAATGATCTGTGTACAAACATCTTAAGAAAATCATTACAGACAATTCTAAGTGAATAACTGTTGCTGGTACCAGGGTGACACAATCACTTCTGAAGCAGACATACCAACTGAACAGAAGTTAGCACCCTGGCATTACCTTTTATCAAGAATATTTTGGCAAAGTCAAGTTGTCTGCTCACTTACCAAAAATGATGTGACTTAGATAATTTGATTACATGAAAAAGATTCTGTCTCCAAAGCCTGTGTTGTAACATTACATCTGGTCTTTCAAAGAACTATAAACATTCTTGTTATAAAAAACAATTTCTCAATTCTGTTCTCCTGCTGCATGACATACAATGGAAGAGACAGGTCTAAAACTAGGAACCCAAACCCACTGAAGACTTACTACAAGGATATTTCTCAAATATGTTTACAACAAGCAAGTCCATTACAATGAAAATATAGAACTACTAGTTACAGTATTAGAAATGTAATCTTTCCAAATAGTGGCATGCTTTTTTAAAAAATCTATCCATAGAATAAGTTCCTTCATATCTGCATGTTTAAAGTCTCATACAATTGAAATATTCATCAAGTTTAATTTCAACACATCACATAGGCAGTTTAGGGGCAGATATGCCCTCGCATGGTTATCAGTAAGATAACAAGGACTGACAGCTGTGGTAATATTCCAGCCCATTATCAACAAGAGTGGTAACTCCTTCTCCATAATGGAGTACATAGAACTTATAAATGCTTTCTTAATTGCGATCCAAAATATATATCGCAAACTTTCACTCTTTCATTAGGAATTATATCTGCTGCTATCCTGTGGCACTAAATGCTACTTTGTTTTAAACAAAATAAACAGGAGCAGACAATTTACACATCCTTATTTTAAAAATGATTCATAATACAAAAAATATATATACATAATAAAAATATTAATCTCATTAACCTTTATTGAACGTGTGTCACTCTGTGTAATAGCTTGTGCACAGTCCAGTTTTATGACTTGACACAGTAGTGTGTTGCTAAAATAGCTCTTTATTTTGAGCCGACGTATAGCAGCTATGGCACCAAAATTCTATCTGCCGCTATATAAAAACTTCCATTATGCTTTCCTGCTGCAAGTTACAACATCAACACTACTAAGCCCACCGTTGGCTAGAAAGGATCATGTTCTAGTCACAACTTTGTCAAGACACCACTCATAAACCTTCAAGTCATTTGTCAATTTTGAGATAGCTGTGCAGAAATTACCTATAATTTCATTTTACCAAATTTCAGAGTCTCTTATACATATTTTTGTCACAGTACAAAAAAATAATTTAGTAACTGAAACAAGAATGTGATTTAAAACCTGAGAATGATACATATTTGGAATTGTGAACAGTGTCTCACAAATGTGCATATTTACAACAACACATTCATACTAACAGATTTCTGTGACTAAAAATTCAGCTTACATAACAATGTCTACCATATGGTCACTTAAATAAGGGATGGTTTATGAGCTTAAATATATAAAAGTGGAATTTTCATCTTTATACGTTACCTCCAGTTATGGACTAAAATTACTAAAAATATAAACTGCTTTGAAAGTTTTAATGTAAGTATCCTATACCAAATTTCATAAACTTTCTGCAACCAGAGACGAGTTGTGTTATAAAGATATGTGAACCAGCTGAGGACGACATACACAACAGAACAAACACATCTAAACAATAACCCTTCAATGGGAGAACTTTTTAAATCAGACTGCCATTAAAAAGTATATAAAATAACTAATTTATCCTGATACTCATCATGACAATACATTTTCAGGTTGTGATTAGATGGAAATATCTAACATGTCACACACCGAGAACCCTTCCAGTATACAACAAAAAAATAATTTCTTCTTAATATAGGTTACAACAATAAATACTGCATGCACCACATTCATCAACAAAAATATACTTCAGTTATACAGTTGTTATGAACTGAGACTGACTCAAGGCTTACAAGGAAGTAGGCCAGTAGTAACTCAGCCCAATAATACTACCAAGTGGCTTTCAAGATAAATATAACTCACACAGTCTCATATTCACGTTAATCAAGAGAAGAAATCCATATAATTTTTTATACTTTTTAACAGAATTCAGTAAAACTGGGTTAATGGTGACCAATATATAATTAATATAACTGGGACCAGAACCATGCACACATAACATGTCCAGTAGTGCCAATTTACTACAAATGCCTGCCAGCTGTACAACACAACTTGTTGCATAAACCACATTCATTTGGAATGATAAAATGTCCTGTGATTGTTATTCTTCTAGAGATGAAAACACACATTTCTCAGCCTACTGAGATGAATGACAAAAGGAGATACTTCATTCTTCTTCCTACAACATGAACTATTATACCTTCCTTTGTCATACACCAGAAATACAAAAATTACCAGTTATTTAAATTGCTTTCCCACTTTAAAAACATGAGTTTTCCTTAAATTGTATAACAATGACAGAACTGACTGATGCAGAATAAATAAAGGCAAACCACACATTATGCATTCCTCTTAAGCCACAATTATGATCCACATCAGTATACATAGCCTGATAATCATTGATCCATTCTTTAAACTTGTGAGGTTTTTAACGCTTCAAGAAATACAAGCATTCAGTTTCCTGAAGGATAAAATCTGATCATTTAGGGATTGTGGAAGAAGATGTAGCTTTAAATTTACCAAATTTTTATGGTGAGAGTTCATGTCTTCAACTACTAAATTCACATAACTTATAAATAATCAGAAAAGTATTTTCCTTTATGACAAATGCAGACAAAAAGTTTCCAAAAATATTTAAATTACATTAAATTGTAAGCAAATTATTCTTAGTACATAAAAGACATACATTATACATGACTAACTGAAGGTATGTAATCAGGGCACAAATAAATCTATTTGAGAGAATGTCAAAATTATAACAAATTTTTCTCAAATTAATCTGAAGACATCCAGGACTGCTCCTGCATGAGACAAGTCTTGAATGTGGCCTGTGATACAAAGTAGGAAACAACAAGACGCACTTTGACGGACAGAAGGGAACCAATTTTCACAGTGAACATGGCTTTTGACATGATGAGTTCAAAATGATAGTTTTTGGATAAGGAACACAAATTTTATGCATTTTGTTTATTCTATGTTACATTTGTACTCAGTAATCTCTTAATAATATACAATGCCAGAACATTGCCACAGCACACAGCCAGTCTTATTGACATGTTAACACAACAGATATGTTGCTGTCACCTTACAACATTTATATGTTTGTGTTAACAAAGTTTCTGGTATCTGGTAATATGATAGTGGTTGAGTCACACAGTATTGAAGATTACATGTACCTGGCCATCAATAAACAATTGGTCCCTAACATTCATGTGTCCAGGCTCTGTGAACCACAGTGAACACAGATACAGTGACAAAAAACATAAATATAACAGATCAGATATACATCTCTCCAGCACTTCACTGACATAAGCCCATGGTGGTAACCTCTTTCAACCAGAACTCAGGATGGAAAGATAAAAGTAAGTTCCAATCTGAATTCTGGTTACCACATGACTCATACTATATACACATATATATACCACTTGAGTACATACAGTGTCTGCCACAGCTTCCACAACAATGTGCAGCGCAGAGGGAGGATACTGTGGCATTCATTCAATATCTTGTGAGTAGTTTCTTGTTCACTAGCCTACATCTAAGATGACGCTGTTATCACCTGAATAAAATAAAGCATTCAAATGAATACAGTGTACATTTATGAATGTGAAAAACAAAACCATTTCAGTATATGAGGTTTTCATGACGGTGATTCTGAAGATTTCTGTCTTCTGGGTTGTTGGGACGTGTAGTCTGATAGATGTCCGCCAACGTTTCGGAGGTCATGCTGCCTCCATGATTGCCCTGATGACAAAGGAAGCATGACCTCTGAAACGTTGGTGGACATCTATCAGACTACACGGTGCAACAACCCAGAAGACAGGAATCTTCAAAACCATTTCACATTATACAAGAACTTTGTCTATGTCAAACTATCAACTGGTTTTAAAAAACGTTGTGTGTACAATATACACAAACATGACACTATCCTTATGATGAGATCTAATATCTGTTGCAGGTTAAATTATGATGCAGGAAGTACAAAGGTTATGTAACACTCAACAAAATGAAAAGATGGTTATAAATTGGGGGGGTTAATGGCAGGATGTAGTAAGTAAAAATATTATCCAAGAACACCAAATAAAGCTACCGACTTGACAAGACTTGAACAGGAACCTCCTGAATACACATCAGATACATTACCTTTGTCCAATCGTTTGTTGGTCAATGTATACAAAGTTAAATCTTAATTCAATAAGGCATTCATTAAAGTTTAAGAATTATAATGTGTAGGTACAAAAGTTCCTTGACCTTAGTTATTCTGTTCTATAATTTCTATTAATCACCAACTTTAAAACAAATTAACAATGGAATTCAGCAAGCCACAGGAAAACTCACCCAAGACCAAACACTTCAGTTACAATATGTAACTTACGCTAGTTTCATTATATGCAATTGTTCTTGGAGTAAAATGATGCAGACAGAACATTGTACAACCAGCTAAGCAACATTATGCAGTTAATAAAGGCACCAACAAATGAAGAATGAATGTAGGGCAGGAATCTGAAAGCAGTTTATCGAGAACTTAAGGGACAGTACAACAATTATGATTATGGTCTGAAGACTGAAATTAATCAAAATTAGAATATCTGTACAATAAAATGTAGTTTTAAACTATGTCTAGAATATAAAATAGTAACAGAAGTACATAAATTAGAATGTTTAGGAAGTAAAGTGTAGATAGCAAAACTCATAATACCAAGATAAAGTGTAATTTGGAACAAAGATAATCTAAAAAGCGTAAAATTATATTTTAAACCCATTTTAACATTGCAGTGGAAACACACCTAAGGGAAAGCCAAGGACTACGGTAATTGATTATATAAAGTTAAAGATAACAATGAGGAAAATGGAGTACAGTATCACAAAAACATGTAACAATTTGAAAAAGAATTCAGATTAAAAAAAAGAGGGACAGGAAAGGGTGCTCACCTGCGAAGGTCACTTCTTGTTCTTTGCGAAGTCTTGAAATCATCGCGGACTCTTCCAGAACGAGAATGAAGTTTACGAAAGACCTGTGAGAGATTGTGCTGGGGAAACAAAGTTTCCAGTATGCCCTCCAGTAAGACATATAGCAGGCGGCGGTTCAAAACAGGGTGTTGGAACAGTTCAAAGACACATAAAAGTCCTCGTCTTGTCGTTTCACTCCCAATTATGTGCTTCAGTTCATCTGTAAAATATTCAAGGAAACAATGCAGAGTGCACAAAGTAAGCACACACATCCCTAAATTTATGAGCATAATTTGTTTGATGAAAACAGTAAGGTGAACATTCATAAATAAAAATTAAATTCTTATCTATTGTATGTATAATAATCATAAAGGATCAATGTTCTTAAATTGAAAAATACATATCAATTTGAATGATTCGTTGTAGCGAAAATTTGTTAATCAGAAGTTCACATATCAAGGGATTGGTTTAAGTGAGAAAGGTCGTAACACTACTGAGCTAGGGACAATAGACACACCTAATTCAGTAAAATCTTGTAATACATTAATAGAATGCAAGTTTTCCCACAATTTATAACATAATTTCTTAGTCCCATTAATTTTCCTACAATTTCAATGGTTTCTGTTTGTTTTTCGTCATTTCATTTGAATTTCCAGGATTTTACAACATTTTCCGTGACTACAACATTTCAGTTTACAAAATATAACTGTTTTAAGTTAGCAGCTATTATTATTTAACCTATTACCTATGTCTGCTGTGTGCATTGCAGTTCTTTCATTTCCAATTGCATAATTTCATAAGCTATCATCATAAAAGGAAAAAAAAACATTTCCTTCAGAAAAACTGAACATACTACAGGATGCTGACATGCACATAGCGACTTCATATTTCCTTAGTCAAACAACCTGGATTATCAGCATCAACTTTGAAAACAATAGTCAGAAAGCATCATGTCAATGAAGAAAACTGAAATCAATATGAAAGATATAAGATTTTTTGAAGATGTAAATATACTACTTATTCTGTGCAAATTCTTTCAAATCATTTGACAAATGATATTAACTTCCATCATGATAATGTATATTTTCAGTTTCTGGTAATTATATGTTGCAAAAATCTTCAAGCATCACTTAATAATTTAACTCCATAAAACAGAGCCCTCCTTAAGAAGCTGATAGTATGCTTAGCTAGTCTCAGAAATTCCCCATGTTTTCTCATGGAACCTGAAGGGTTGCTTACCGTTTTCACACAAGCCTGCACTGCTTCGTAAAATATACATTCCCACATTATTTACTGCGCATTCCAATAAAGCAGTCTGGTAAAGGTAAGTAAAAAAGTTTATGATTTCTTCAAGTCCTGTAACTCACACTTTCCCATAATTACCACACCTCTTCATCCACTGTGAACTTCGAAGACAGGCCAGTATACTGAGACATTAATAGGATACCATAAAATAACAATGCAGTACTCACCAGACAGGCTTGAAAGCAGGGCCACTTTAGCAGCGACCCGAGTCCGCATGCGAGTTGCTTCATCTCGGGGCAGGCGAGGCTCTGCCTTGCAGCCATTTGGCCAGAAGGATTGTCTACACAACAGGCAAACAACTATACACAGTGTACAATTTGACTTTCTCGCAGCAGTGAGTATGAGCCGGGATAGCTCAGTCAGTATAGTGACTAGCTACGGGCTGGGCGATCGGGGTTCGATCCCTGACGGGAGCAGAGGATTTTTCCTCTAGCCTCTGCTTCCAGACCGGCTCTGAGGCCCACCCAGCCTCCTATCTAATGGGTACTGGGGTCCTTTCCCAGGGGTAAAGCGCAGCCGAGGAATGGTGCTGACCACTCACCCCCATCTGGTGCCGAGGTCAAGAAAGAGTAGGAGCTATACCTCCGCTCCCCCCAAGTGCCTGCATAGGCGTGTAGCGGGACGCTTTACTTACTTTTTTACATTGCAGCAGTGAGTATGTGTTCTAGTCTGGTAAAAGTTTACTTATGTTTCAAAGGAGCTTACTGCCTCCATTATCAGGGAAATAAGTGCTGATGATGAAATCAGCAAGTACCTATGAAACATTGGTAAACTTCTACCAGAATACATGGTGCTACAACCAAGAAGACAACCATCTTCAACTATACACTGAATGCTGCAAGGTAGCAGATGCCATTACTGCTCTGTATTGGTACATGAGTCAGGGACCACCTAGCTAGACTGACAAGTTTTGTGGTTTACCTTAGTCCCTCCAGGGAAGTCCTGAGATAGAACTTGCAAGGTCACCTCACCCCAAACACATAACCTAACCATCTGTCTATAGTTGACACTACAGACTATACCTGGACGCATTAGGAACTTACTAATATGATAAGCAGTCATCTTTCATTTTCTTAGGGTCACTGGTTGGTTCAATTCAATAGCCAGATATCCTCAGATTTACATGCTCTCTCTCAATAATTTAAGGCAAATGTTGGAATAGTGCCTCAAAATAAATCAACACACTTCCTTCCAAATTAATCATTCGCAATTGCCCTCCCATTTGATGCTGAAAACCTAAGCAACTGAAAACATATCTTTAATTACTCACTGCAGTAAATCGGAGAAGCTTTCTCTTTGACCTTTCAAAATTGCTGTATATAATCACCCTCTCATGTCTTTCCATCTTACATAATCTCTGCAGCTGACTGAGCTTTGGTAAGATGTCAGGTTCTCATGGAAGTGAGTGTAAAGGTAACTGTCTTCTAGGATATTGTGCCATTCAGTCTGGTAGAAATTTACTGATGTTTCAGAGGTACTTCCTGCCTCCACCATCACACTGATGATAGAGGCAACAACCACCTCTGAAACATTCATAAATTTCTACCAGACTACATGGCACTGTATCCTAGTAGACAGCCATCTTGACTGAGCTTTGTTAAATTATCTGTGAATATCCTTGATTTATTCACCCTAACCCTACAAAGTGATGAGTACGAGACACAAATTCCTCTACCAACACATCTCTCTTACATCAAGTATTCTTCTCAGTAAATTGTTTTCAAATATCTTCAAGCTCAGCTTATCCCTCAGAGTACAAGAAGTTCTTGAGTCAAGAGAAGGAACTGTTTTGGAATAAAGACTGATAATTGATACCATGCCAAAATCTTACTCATTCAAAATGTTTCTGCCAATCATCTAACACAAAGATGAAGAAAACTTACTTGAATGCTCGAAGGTAGTCAGCAACCTGCTCAGGGCTGGTCATCAGGGACACATAATCCAATATCCTTCTATTCACAATGTCACCAAACATGGTACGTATAATCTGGCGCAACAGTGTCACTATACGTCTGCGAAGCCACTGGTTGCGAGACTTGAGATCAAATACTTCATCCATGAGCAGCAGCATGATTCGCAGAGGGATGTTATCATCAGTCTATAACAGACAGGTAACAATTAAGACAAGATTATCAACGCTTTCGTGACAGTGGATGACACAATCAAGTTGAATAACTTCAACGAAGATGTATGTGATATACAGGCAACTCTCGGTTTACGAACGAGTTCCGTTACAAGACATTGTTCATTATAAGTTTTTGTTCGTTATGTGTATCTTGTATTCCTGAGCTTTTATGATACGTATCATATACATTAAAATCCATTTTAAAGTATTAAAACCATGTAGTAATTATCATATAATAATTATCTGATAATTATTGTAATAAATACATTTTTTAAAAGTTTATTTATTTAAATCTTACAATTATGTTCACTATACATTTGGCACTTTGTTTTATAAGGAACTCTATCTATTGGCGATTTTAAGAAATTTTGAATGAATTGTGACGTTCATTATAGCGAATGTTTGTAAATCGAACGTTCGTAAACCAAGAGTTGCCTGTATACAAGAAGATGAAGATAACTGTCTTATGGGCTGTTGCACCATGTAGTCTGGTAGAAGTTTACTGACATTACAAAAGTACTTGCTGCCTCCATCATAAGGGTGATGAGTCATTACCCTGATGATAGGGGCAAGAAGCAACTCTCAAACATCGGTAAATTTCTATCAGACTATACAATAGAACAGCCCACAAGACATCATATTCACAACCATGAGAAAATGAAATGTCACAAAAAAAAGTTTCATCTCCTGGCATCAACTGACAAGATATCACACAGACAGCATTTATTTTTCCTGTGCCCTTTATTATTGCAGCAACAAGGACTGAACACAACACCATTTTAGGCTTCAAAGAAAAGTTAGGGGAAATTTGGAGATGTGATTGGTGGGAAATTGTAGCTTTTAATGAGATGACAATCCTAGCACAGATGGGGAACAAACCTCATGATGAGTACTCACATCAGAATATCTGAAGGTAAGGAAGTACAAAAGTAATTCTGGTTAGATCCTATAATCCCTGCATTCTCTCAGATGTTTCATGTCAATAAATAATACAGTAGCACAAGCAAATTACAGGTAAAAATTAGAAATCTACAAGACTATACGGCACAACAACCCAGAAGACAGCAATCTTCAGACTTACTACTGTGAAAACCTCAAATCCTACTTGTAAAAATTACACTGCACACATGCATGTGTGTGTATGAATTATCTATTTTTGTATGTAACTTCTCTTAGTAAAGGGAGCCAGGTAGGTCAGTACAGTAAGTGAATAACGACTGAACAACCGTGGTTCTATCCCTGACAGGGGCAGAGAATCTTTCCTCTAGTTTTTGTGTTCAGACTAGCTCTGAGGCCCCATGAGCCTCCTATCCAATGTGTACCAGGGTCCTCTCCCAGGGGTAAAGGGTGGCCTGAGTGTGACGCTGGCTACTCGCTCCTAGTGTCGAGGTTAAGAATGAGTAGGAGCTATACCTTCTCCCCCCCCCCCCCCAAGTGCCTACATGGCGTGTAACGGGACAGCTGTACTTTCACTTTTTTGCTTTACTTTAATATCTCTTGGTACTAATTTCATATATCTAACCATACTATCAAACATAACTCAAATGTTTGTGCTGTCAACATGTTAGTCTGTTACAATAACCTAATAAGAACTTACATCAACATGAAGTGAAGCTCCAACCTTCATCGATTCATAGAAGCCAGGCGGCCGGATTGCCTTACCCTGGAACACCTTACTTATGCCGTCCATCACACCATCCACTGTACTCATAAGATTGTCAGGCATGGTGCGTACTGCCTGCCCCACAGTCCGCATCGAGCTCTTCAGAGGGTTTACTATTGTGTCCAGCTATAAAAACATGTCATATGTTGGAGTCAGCATCAATTAAGATGTTGAAGGAAAATTATAAAAGAATCAGTAGGGCTGTCCCCACTTAATGGTACCTGCACCTTGTCGTGGTGGTGGGGCTTGAGTACCTCAGTGACCCCAAGAGCTATGCTGGCGGTAGCATAGCTACTGGTAGGGCCTCCCTAGCCAGATTGGTTGAGGGGGATAGGTCAGACTAAGACAGGTACCCTGGTCCTCCAGGTTGGGGGTTGGTCGCAAGGCTAACAACCTTGCACAGTAAAAAGGAAGATGTTTCGAAACCTCAACCTCGGACAGACGGACCTAACAGAAGGACCGAATGGAAGAGGAGAATTGAGGAGGCCATGGACCGAATACAGACCGGAGAGCCATAGAAGAAGATCAGTAGGGCTGTAGAAGAATGAGTCATGACCTAGTGCTATCCCAGCATTTGTATGAGCAAATTAATAACCACGTTAACAAATTTCAAAGTCAAAACAAACAGGTATCTTCAAGAAGTGGCTCAAAAGTGAATTAACCATCTGTAGCCAAAGGCTGTCAAAGTAATAATTAAAAATTCAGTTCCTACCATAAACAAAACACAGTGTTTTACCATCAAAGGTCAGCAAGAAAGTGATGCTTAGGTAATCAATGTTTATTCTGAAAAATAATATAACAAACATAAATAATGCATTGTGGGCAAAGTTCAGAATTACTGAATCTTAAAGACAGAAGTGAATATATTTACCACAGGGCTTTAAAGGATCAGCATGCATGCGTATGAAGCACAAAATTCATTACTGAAATTTCATAACATTGAAACAGAGAATGTTGTACTAAATTTTGACCATAATGGTTTAGTAAAGCATTATCTGAACAATGTCATGTCACTTGTTGAAATGTTTCATTAATAAGATTTGCCACTGAAAAAATAACAATATTACACTGCACATAAAGGAGCTATGAATTTACAGTATGGAAGGGACATTCTGCGCATGTCTGAATTGGGAATAGAACAAAAGGGTAAAAGCGCTAAAGCTGCAAGGTTTATGAAAGTCTTGGATTCAAATTCAATGAAAGAGGAGATAACATAATTACAAATGCAGTTACAGAACTGTTTATGAAGACAAAGATAATAAGATATGGCTGGATGGAATGAGATGGAAATGATTCAATGTGGCAAGAAAGATAAAAGACAGAGTATGGTTATTTAGTGGCAACCTACACTAATATACAAATACCATGATGGTTTGAAAATTACTATAAGAGAGTGGACAGTATCCTACAATGTCAGTGAAATTGTTACCGTGCGAGCTATCTGTCCTCCAGTTACACCCTTGTCATAGTCTCCCTGCTCAAGAAATGCCAGCAGCATTCTCTGTAATCGTGGGTGTGTATCTATGACACCAGACTGCAGCAGGATCTGCATGTAATCGTTTAACATCTTCATCCTCTTCTCCAGTACAGTACGCTCCATGTTGTGGAAAGTCTTCTTGCCAGGAAACGTCAGCTTTCCAAGATCACCATACTAAAACACAGTATTGTGTTGAAAATATTCCTTCTGCCATCTAGATCCATTTTAGGGAATGTATTTGTTAGTAGTTAAAGATGGCTGTCTTCTGGGTTGTTGCGCCATGTAGTCTGGTAGAAATTTACCAACATTTCAGAGGTCCTTGCTGCCTCCAAAATCACGGCCTTGATGATGGAGGCAGCAAGGACCTCTGAAATGTCGGTAAACTTCTACCAGACTACAAGGAGCACAACCCATAAGACAGCCATCTTCACACTAACCACCATGAAAACCTTAAATTTCATTTTTTCTAACTCATTATCCATCAGACATCCTAAAAAAATTAAATCTGTGTCGTAACAGCTCCAGAGAGCCAAAGCCGACTAGCTTGACTGCTGACCTCACGTTCACATGCCTAAGCAGAGGTGAACGATCATTCAACCAGATATAGAGTGACGTGTGGTCAGCATGACGAACCCCCACCCATTGCTAGCTTTCCTGACCGGATTACGCTACTCATTGTAGCTCCCCAATTTCCTCACGATGCTGGGTTGGCACCGGTCCCATACATCGGTCGAAATCTCATGAAAAAATTTCTTCTCCCCCAAGACTCGAACCAGCGCGCATTCTGTATAGCTGGTCCGAAGCATGATGCCTCAGATCCCGCGGCTAAGGCGCGGGACCCATCAGACATCCTATCATTCAATATTATACAGTCTAAGTTACTGAAAACATCATTAATGTAATAGCAAATATAAACAGAACTAGGCTGAACATTGTGATATGAACAACACTACTATTATGCAAAGAACAGTTACCTTGTCTTTAACTTTCTGGTGGAGATCGTGGAAGTCTGAGTATCTCCTATATACGTGCCATTTCTCTGTGTAGCCAGTTTCATAACACTTTGCCACTGACACTGCGTAGATGCCATATGTCTTCCCCCTGTCATTAACCACACCTGCAAATAGACAGTCTTTAGGCAGGACAGAACATACAACATTACTGTTAATCCAACTTATAACACAACAAAAGAAGTCTACAAACAGTTTCATAACATTAGATGTAAAATATTCTTGCTTTAATAATCACAATCATCCCATTATCACATATCTATATTCTTAATAAACTAAACTATTAAAGTACCAACCCTCTAAGCCAAGCAGTGGACCCAGCCTCGAACCCATTCTACCTAATCAACAAAGCAAAAATCCATCCATCTTGGTGTTCCAAGTGGCTACTAGAGACTTTTTATTCTGTGTATACTTCTTGGTTCTCGAAACTGAGTTACAAACCCAGTTCATAATAAACACTTCAAGGAGACGGGTTTATTTGATTTTGAACCTTGTCCATCATTCAAGGTTAAAATGTATATAACAGAGTAGGTGCCCTTGCCCCATATAGCTGAAGACAAAAATGGATGTGGTTTTCAAAACACTGTGCACATTTTAACCTTGAACGATGGACAAGGTTCAAAATCCATTAAACCTGGCTATATCACACCATCATCAGAACCCTACAGAATCCACTTCAAGAAGAGTGAATAACTCCAACTTATGAAATTTCTTCCAGATAATTTTTTATAGTAGCTTTCACCATGAGATTTCCCTCCCCACTACTGTGTGGCTGTAAGTCAGCAGAACAGCACTGCTAGATTTATTACACTGCAAGTTCTGAACTGTCTTCACTTTCGCCAACCAAATGTCATAATTGAGTGATTACCTCTCCTACTTTGTATTCAGGATGTCCCAGGTTCAATTCTTGGCCAGAGACTAACCTAACTGAGGTTTTTCCATGGCATTCCACAGGCCCTCCAAGAAAATGACAGCATAATACCTTAAATTAGATCATGACTGCTACCTTCCACATCTTTACAATCTATTACTTACTGTTATTACCTCATCTGATGGTACACAGTCTTTATACTGAAAGCAATGACAAATAAAATATAAAAAAATATTCCCTTGTCTAGTTCCTCTATTAGCGTTGCAATGTTGTACAATTTTGCTATGGCTACTACAGAACTTTGTTTCCAGATATTTTTAACGTATGTTTTCCCAAGGTTATGAACCACATCTCATGACCTGTCTCTTTTGAGTATGAAAACATAGCTTTTTCTCTAAATTAGGACCAGCTGAAAGACCTTACAAAAGAAGAATAAGTAACACACTATTATATCAAAGGCAACTAACTAACTAGATGGCTTACTGAACCCGAAGGTTCATCACCGAATTAACCAAAGCCCTCCACCGGACACTGTCCTGGGTCAACAAAATCCAGTCTCCTTCAACTCCTATCTCCCATAGATCCCTCCTGACGTTATCCTCCCATCTACATCTAGGTCTCCCCAGCAGTCTCTTCCCCTCGGTCTTCCCAACCAGTACCCAGTGCACACCTCTTGCCCCATCCATGTGCGCTACATGCCCCGCCCATCTCATTCTTCTCGACTTAATCACCAATATTGGGGGAGGAGTAGAAATTTTTAAGCTCGTCATTATGCAGTTTTCTCCATGCCCCATCGTCTTCTCTCCTAGGCCCAAATATCCTCCTCAACACCCTATTCTCAGACACCTTCAATCTGTGTTCCTCCCTCTGAGTGAGAGACAATGTTTTGCATCCATACACAACAACAGGCAAAATTATTGTTTTGTATACTTTAATTTTCAGGTTCTTAGAAATCAGACGGGAAGATAAAATATTTTGAACTGAGAAGTAGCAAGCATTTCCGGAATTTAGTCTCCCCCTAACTTCCTCATGAGTATTATTTTAATTTGTTATTGTTATCAAAGGCAACATCCTTCAGATATGTGCGTACCTGTTTCTATTATCTCAGCCTGTAAGTAGAAAGATCCCTGCTGCGGTTGCTGCTGCAGTCTGGCTGCATTGCTCTCACCACTCAAATTACTCATCATCATTGAATTATCTGGTACGTTATTTGATGATCCCAGTATACTACTGACAGGGATGTCAGTAGTAGCAGCTGAAAGCGACATATTGTGATTTAAAGTATTTCTAGGTGTTAAGATGCACAAAGGTTCTATTTATAAAAGCACAGGTGAAATTTAAAGTTAGATAATCACATTCATAAATTTTAATATGCAAAATCATGCTTCAGACATCTGTTTAAAACTTATCACATTACCAAATTTCACACTCTTATAAGAGGCACAAAAAAATGGATGAAAACAGAAACCAACAAGAAAAATAGACGAATGCAAAACACTGTTCCAGAACTACCATTATAAAAGTAAAAACAGTGTACATACAATTGATGCTCTGCCTTTTTAAACAGATGTGACCTCAACAAGATCTGCATATTTTTCAAACATCATATTGAAATGTTTCAGGATTCTGCACTTAAAGGTACCAATCTTACATGTATTTCATGAGTTTACACAGCTGTCATCTTGGTATTTGTAATGATATGGATTTATAAAATAAAAATATGCATTTCTCTAAAACTGCATAACATCCTATAATAACAAAAAACTTTACATTTGTTTTCTCACAGAGAGAATGGATAGTATTATTCTGGGGTGTATGGTTGCTTATTTACATTAAAATTGGTCAACTGGCTGAAAGGTTACTAGAGGAGACAGATAAGTACACAAACACGCATGATGATAACATATGTAAATAAAACATACCAATTAGGGTAGACACAGAAACAAAAATATTAAAATTATCATGGATACCAAGCAGCAATACCTGCAGTCCCTTCCATCAGTGTGAAGTCAGCATCAAATGAAGACAGACTTATATTGTCAGAAAGACTTATCTCATCTAGAGACTGACAGTCCTCTTCATCACTGCGAGAAGACGGATCCTTCAGTAAGTCTAGTTCTGCCAACAGCTTCACATAAGACACACTGCCTTGGAAACCTGGTAAGAAGTGTTCCTCATTCTGTACAGAACACGGATCCAGATTAAATATGATAAACATCTCCAGTTATCATGTTATCCCAGCTTCTACTCACTCAGTTAAAGGAATCCATTTCTGAGAAGAGAGCATTTTGAAGCAGGTATTCTGATAGGATGACACCAAGAGTGATGGGGCATGTAGCTTTACATTGGTTTTAAACTACAGATAGGTACCTAGCAACGAAAAAGGAGTGGATAGTGATTAGGTAGTGGGGGAAATATTTGATCTAGTCAGTCAAGAACCAATACTGCTAGCTTAAGAGGCCTAGATCAGTGGTATTCAACCTGGGGTACGTGAAATTTAAAAAATATATATATATTATTTTATGATAAACACCGAATAATCAGTAATGAAATTTATTTAATTTATTTTAGATGTAGATTATATACTATGTATAACTTGAATTATTCACCAACAGCTTTGGGGGTACAAAGTTGAAGAGAAATTATATCTGGGGGTA